GCACAGGGAGCGAGGGCCGGGGGAAGAAAAGGCGCAAATGGAATGGTTTCCAGCACCGGGGGTGGGGGTGGGGGTAATCAAGAAACTCTCCTTCCCTCGCTCTGTTAACGGCACCCACCCGCCCTCCGCCCTTCGTGCGCCAGGCTCCTGCGCGCGGCCCCCCTCCTCCCCGCCCCAGAGTGCGGGCGGTCGGCGGAAAGCCCCGGGCTGCGCCTGCGTGCTGCCCAGCGCTGGCTTTCGGTTTCTTCTCTGCGGCGCTGCTTCTCGTCCCCGACCGGTTTCCCGGAAAGCAAGTGGGGTGGCTCTTCTGAGCTGTAGCGTCCCTCCCGCCGAAACATCTCGGAGTGCAGCGCGCAGTCCCGCCTCTCTTGGGCTGCGCTTCTGTGTTCTGAAATCCCTAGACTCTACTGTCTGGGAGCCGGTTTTGACTAGGAATGTAAGAGTGCTCATTGTAGACAACCTAAAAAATTACATAAACGTGATCCACCACCTAAGACATTAATATTTTTAAATGTTTTCTGTGTGTATTTCCATTTATTTACATTTCTATGTTCTTATATAGGATGATGCTTTATTTTCTGTTCTTTTCCACTTAACTTTTTATAAGAGGGTATTTTTTAATGTACTTTGGTCTTTGAAAGAATAGCTTTTATATTCTATCATATGAATTTGCCTTGTCAGTTGAAAAATAAACCATTTTTTCCTGATATTTTTTTCTAACTATAAGTGAAGTTGCAATAAACAGCCTTTATGACAAAATGTTCACCCATATCTGGTGATTTCCTTATAGTAGATTATTCTGTGAGCCCGAGAATACTGTAAAAACTTATGAAAAGTGATTGTGTTTTCAACAGTATAATCTTTAAAGATATTTAAGATGATGTGTCACTTGCTATTAATGGAAAGTGCATGGTTTGTTCATATATAGATATTTTCCTAAAAGTTTTCATGGCTTTCCACAATATTGGGATGAAATAATTTTATGTACATAGAAAAATATGGTTCAAACCCTGATTTGTACCCCTGCATTTTAATAAGCTGCTATATGGGAGTTTATCTGTGGATTTGCACTTACCGATTGGGAAGAAAATACACATACCCAGACAACCAAGTGACTGTACAAAACTCAAATCCGAGAACTAAAGAAATTTTAGAAATCTTTTATTTCAATTCCATTTTGTTACATATTATCAATAGAGCTTCCACTAATTGACATTTTTAGGATTGCATAGTAGCAAGGTTTATGATTGGAAAGAAGGAGGGGTGAGGAGACATTGACCTGCATTTTTGGAAATTCCTATTGTTAGATATTTGAGTTATAATACTACAAACATTGGGAAAATACTGCTAAGATACAATATGGTACCTGAGAGGAGAGGGAAATTCTAAACATTTCATTTAGGTTTGTTCATCGGATTTATAGCTACCATTCTGACGCAGTTAAAAAAGATCAAGTCTGTAAACAAAGAGCAGAAAACTAGTAAGCTTTTGATGGAGGTATCATAAGGATACAAAGGATAAGGTAATCCTTGAGGATAAGAAACCATCAGTTGGGGATGGGCAATAGGCCTGTTCCACATGAGAAGTTTTGTTTTAGAATTCTACTGTAGGATGTTCTGCTTCCCCCCCATAAGACCTCAGTGAGTGATCTGATACATAATACATATTGCTACAAAACAAACCAAATTATTCCCCAAACTCAGAGAGGTAAAACAACCATTTATTATTGCTTGGGAATATAGGGTAGGTGGGGCAGTTCTGGTCCACCCAGCCAGGGCCATCTGATCTTCCTGGGCTCTTACACCTGAGATCTAAGCTTAGGCAACTGCACCAACATAACTGAGGCCTCACCTGACTTGTCATGGAGGCTGGGCTGGGCTCTGAGAGTATGTGAGGCTAGGTTCAATAAAACACCAGCTTACTACTGCTGCATGATATTGGTCAAAACAAGTCACAAGCCAGCCCAGATTTAATGTTTGGGGAAATAGTCCTTACCTCTTTCTGAAAAGAATTAGAGTCACATTGCAAAAGAATGCCAATGACAGATAAGAGACAGAATGATGTGGCTGATTGAAAATAATCTACCAGGAGACCCTTTGCAATTTGGTATAATGAGAATGATGTATCTGATGAAAGCTTTTTGCCTTAGCCTGTAGACTGCATTGCATTCTTTATATTTCTAGCTATTATAAAATTTCTGTTATAAATTTCTTTAAATGCTTTGTGCAACAAGGCAGAAAAACTAATTAAATACAACTGGGTGATTGGGATATACAAGAAGGGGTGAATAAAGAATAGGAATGGTACTGTCTTCTTATCTTCAACCAAAAATAAATTTCTTCCAAATGGGAGGCCTGGAGTGTCACTCCAGTGTCTTCCTGGATACCTACTGTGGTCTTTAGATTCCTGACCATCCTCCACTGTCATTTGACTATAATACACAGACACCACCTCAAGGATAACTAATCATAAATTTCATCTTCCCATTTATTTCTGGCTGATTATAAGTAACAAGGATAAATCTTGTTTGCTGCCTCTTTCTTTTAAATCCAATGCAAATCTTTGCATTTGTTGTTCTGAATTTTGTCCAATTGGTTTTGACCAGCAGAATTCTAGCCTATTAAGATAATTTAGAATGTTCATTTTGTCATCAGTAGCTGATTTCATGGGAGAGAGTAGAGAATCTCAATTAAACACAATTACAACAAACACACACTTATTACTCATGGACCTGGAGATCAGCTTCAGTCATTCTGCTCCAGGAGGCAGATTTAAGGGAATTCATGCACATCTTCTTCCTCACTCAGTCTATGGAAGTAGCAGCTACTTGAAGTGTGCTATCTCCTGGCACAGGAAAAGATCACACAAAGACAACTTGATTACAAAAAACATGCAAAGTTTCAAGTCAAATCATAATGTATGTATATGACAACTGCTATCATTCCTTTAGCCAGAGCAAGCCACATGGCCAAAACCAGAATCAGGCCACAAAGATGAATACTCTACCTTCAGAAAACCTGTGACAAGGGTAGGAAAGGAAAGAAAAAAAATTGAAAGTTATTCAATTTACCAGATGTGGTAAATTGGAATTAGCTATTTTTAAAATTTTTTATATGTTGCGAATTTGATATTGTTGATATAATGATAGAACTTCCCAAGCTGACTGTTGTCAGACAGTCATCATGTATTTGGATCTGGCAATTTCTGGATCACTAGTTTTTTTTTTATTTTGTTTGTTTTTTGCTTAGTCACTTTTAAAAGAGCCAATATATTAAATAGTCACACTTACAAAACAAATTTAGTTTGTCCTTTGGAAAATTAGAATCTTAAAGGGATAAGATTTGGACACTTTAAAAAGCATCATAATAAGGGAGGGTTAAAATTAAGGGTATAGAGGGAGGGCAGGACATACAGAAGTTTAGTGGAGTAATTAGAAAATGAGAGACAAGGCTGGAAAGAAAGGTAGGAACATTTGTGGAGGATCCAGACTAGGCATCATCTCATTCCTGACTTTGCAAAGACACATGTGTGAAAAGAAAACAGAGTATGTAGGTATGGAAAGGGCAAAAAGCTATAATACACAGACATATATGCACATCCCTGGGAAATCATTTAGAACCTTCTACCCAAAGTTGCTTTATTATTTAGGGTTTGATTCAAATCCCTTCCACTTGAAGGAATTAATAGGTTTTATGAACATATATTGCAAGACGATCTCATCTGGCCTTAGAGATATATGTACCTGGGGAACTGGTGTAGACGCTAAGATTTTAAGCTAAGACCTGAAAGATGAATAAGCCAACAAAGAAGTTGAGGAAAGGGGATAATGGCTCAAGGGGATTTCCAAAGAGAGAACTACTAGTGAGAAGGCCCTCAGTTCGAGGAAAGAGTTTGGCTTATTTGAAAAACAAAATTGCTGAAGTAAGCATAAGAAAGAGTGACACAGATGGGGTTAGAGAGAGTGATAGGGGAACCAAAGTCTTATGGGCTGTATTAAGAAACAATTTTATAAGCAAGAAAAACCATCATAAGATCTCCTGATGATTCCATCTGGCCTGGAGGGGGGAGGTGCTCAAATAATCCAGATGAGAGAAAAGGGAATGGCAGAAGAGATGGAAAGAAGTAAAGGAGATATGAGATATAATTAGGAACAAAAATCAATAAGGCTTGAGGACCAGGTGTGGCAATGTTAAGGATGACTTCTAGCTATTTGGCATGTACCATTCCTAAGATTTTATTAAAAAGACTTTGGTTCTGAATTAGTTTGCAAAGATCATTGGATATGGAAGTAGAGTCAAGTGGAGGCTTTCAATGGGGAAGAGTTCCCAAAAGCAGTGTAGACAGGACATACATTTAGGTGTCCTCCATCTAGAACGACATCACAGCCCAGTGTGAGGAGAAATGTCGTGAAAGAACAGACCGGGTCCGGGTCCGGAACCTGACAACATTTCACTTTCAATGGTTTGGTAGTGGTGATGAAGACATTAGAGAAAGAACCCCCAGAGTGGCACGAAGAAGCACCATGCATTTTCATCGTGACCAAAGAAGAAAGTGTTTTAATGGAGACGTCAACTGTGCCAAACATTTCTGAACGGTCAAGTAAACGAAGATCAAAAAGCATCTTCTGGGTTTAGCAACAGGAAAACGACAAGTCCTTCACTGTGTCCTCTACCTGGGTTCTCATTCTTGGGCAAAAGTAGAGATCTCCTAGTTTTCGGGTCTATGCAAACATAGAACTTCCTTTTAGTTCTCTGAAATGTGTAAACAGAACTTTCTGTCTGTGGCATTGCGACACATTCCTGCGCTCCACTTCTTCCGTGACCGAGGCCAGCCCAAAGACAGAGGAAACACCGGATCCCACGACGGGTCCCACGGCGGGTGGCGGCACCGCTCGCGGAACAGCCGTGTCGGGTTGGCTGAGTGCGGCTGCCACTGTGATTGGCCGAGGAGGACGAAGGCTGGGCGGTCCGATCTGCCTTTTCTCCAGTGGGGTACTTTCGTTTTCCGGCGCAGAGTCTGCGGAGGGACCCTGCTGTGTCGGAGGACGGCACCTGTCAGACACGCAGACCCAGCGGAGGGGGCTCAGCACGCTCCAGAGAGGCTGCCCTGCCTTGCTCCTGCTCACCGGTGCTGGCTCCGGCGTGCAGAGTGAGTGGGCGTGAGGTTCCGGGTGCCTGGGGTGGGACGCGCCCACAAGGGCCCTCTGGACACAGCAGCTGGATGCCTGGTGAGCGTGGCTTTTCACAGCTGACCGGTGAATTCGTCATCCCAAAGAAAGAAAAGATCCCGAGTACCCAAGTGCGAGCAGTGCCATGGCACTGTCTGGCACGTTGCCCCTGTCAGTCGTGCTCTGATTGTAAAGTTGAGTTGTGCAACAGAATACCGCCCCCCCCCCCACCCGGCTCCTGCCCGAAAGCACTGCACCTTCCCATTTATCCTCACTTGTCTTACTTCTTGCCTTTTTCCACCTAGTGACATTTTCTTCTTTTCGCAGAAAGTTTCATTTGCCCTGTGCCATCCTCCAGAGCTGTCTACATTAGACAGTGGCACTCTGCATGCAACTCCAGTTGTCTTGTCACCAAAGGTGCTGTGTGTAGCTGCTTCTTTGATTGAATTCCCAACCTCTCCTTGAGCATAAGGTGACAGGTCAGTAAATGTTCATGGAAATAAATGAATTTGGAATCTTAATTATATTTAAGGTCGAGGAGATTAATGTCCTCCTGGAATGTAAGTGATATTTAGCTCCAGAAAACCTCCGAACAATATAATTACTCTTTTTAAAATAAATTCTGACTAGTACTGAAGAGTTCTGGGATAGGTATATAGATTGTGCTTTAAATGTTGTTTTTATGGGTTAGAGAAGGAGTTGTTTATATGGAACAGAAATAAGACTTGAACCCCTAGCACAATCCAGTGTGCATTATTGCTTAATGAGGATACTGGGACTCAAACTTGTGGAATTATAATAGGGTTGTGTCTTTTGCTTTCCAATTCTATCTGAAATATGCAAGACTTCAGTTGACTAGATTGTTATTGAACACAAACTATATGCAGGATACTTTCCCAAATCTCCTTCTCTGGAATTTATACCCTATATGAAAGACATCATAGAGCTTTACAAGGAAGATTGGAACTAATGCCAGAATACAAGGAGACACAGGTCAAAGAAGCTTCATTGTCTCTGAGTAAGTCTCAGACAGCTTTGAAAAACGGCATTTATACCTGGTTTTAATTGTTGGTGGGATTTAGAGAGGTAGAAATTTGTAGGAAGACTGTTTGCCAGGATGAGTGGCAACTGCAGAAAAGCAGAAATGTTGCATCCAGTAAATAGTTTGGTTTCTGGATTGCTTTGTTGACGGATGAAGATGGGGAGGAGTGGAAATCAGGCATTTTTACGCACCATAGTGACATGGCCCTACCAAAGTGCCGCTGAGGCTGGATTGGAAGGATAGTACTGAGGGAGGGAGGCAGCCAGTCTTGAGATTGGAGAGGAAGGTTTAAAGTTGGAGTATGAGCTAGGTTATTGGGGTATGGTCATGCCTGAGTGAGTAACAGGTTTTGTGAAAATATGAGAGTGATTCTTGATTTGTTAATATGAATGTATTGATCAACCTGCTTTGTGCCAGCTGCTATGTGTGTATTAGTTCATTCAGTCTTAACAACCACCTTGTTGACTGAGGGAGTAAGTGGCCTAAGTTCACTTGGCTGTTAAGAGGCCTTGTCACCCCTACTGGCTGATGGTGCAGCAAAGTTGCTTTAGGCACATTTCTAGCAGAAGGGAGAAACCTTCAGATTTGGAATGTTCTTCTCAGGTAAAGTAAGTGTGAAGTGAAAAATCAAATTGCTATGGCAGGTATGCCAAGGAGAGTGCGCTTACATATATTTTTACTGGTATTTGAAATGGCAACCAGCTTTAGAGTTAAGACATTTCCTCTATCTCAGAAGGATATATCTGGAGTAGACATGCCTGCACATGTATGCTTGACAACAGGCATGCATCCCACATTCTTCTATACCCTGCTTGAAAATCCAGACCCTTTCTCAGAAGTCTGGCAGGACAGGATTCACTGACACCACCCCAAATGTTGCCAGCTGTCTGTACCATGTGTGCTGATATAAATCTAAGTTATCAGATGGTCATGGGAGGCACTTTGTTTCCCTAATTTGGCTTTCTAAAATTGGCATTTTGTTGAAGTTTTTAATTTTCATGGCTACTATATACAAATTAATAGTTACCCAAAGACATAAATATTACTTTCAAATTACATTTGAGAATGTTGGTTCAATCTTTAAAAATATTGCTGAGATTTAAGACTCCTTTGTGCCAGATTTATGGTTGACTTTACCCTATGACTCATAAAATATACCAATTAAAAATTTTTAATTAAATTAAGAATATACTATAATTTGTAGGAGAGCAATATTTGGAGAGATTTTGTGATTTGTCTTAAATTTAAATAATGTTTTTTATTTATTTATTTGAAAAAAGTGCAGATTTATTTTAAAGGCATATTTATTGGTTACCTAGTATATGCCTGACAATGTTCTAGGAATATAGCAATGAAAAGAATTCTCCTTAATCCTTCTATTCATGTGACAAAAACAGACGACAATCAAAATTTAAAAAGAGAGAAAATATGTGGTAGGTCAGACAGTGGTTAAGTGCTGTGAAGAAAATGCATCAGGGAAGAGAGAGAGTGATTTCCAGTGTAGGAGCTGGTTGCAATTTAAATAAGGTGGCCAGAGAAGGCAGATCTGATATGCTAATATTTGAACAAATATGTGTTTCCTGGAGAAGGAAAAATGTTTCCCTTAAAATTAATAAATAGGCTGTAGAATATCATTACTATTTAAATAATGTATTTGAGACAAATTATGTCTTGATCTAAGCAAGATGTTTATTTGGTTCTGGCAATTGAATCCAGAGCCTTGCACTTGCTAAGCACAGACTCTACCACTGAGCTGTGCCCTCACTGCTAAGCAAAATGAGTCAACAGACATGCTGCTAGAACCTTCCTTAGAGCTGTGGGATTCCTTCACGGTGTATGTTCTTTTTTCCATAGGATGTCTCAGTGGTATGAACTTCAGCAGCTTAACTCCAAATTCCTGGAGCAAGTTCACCAGCTTTATGATGACAGTTTTCCCATGGAAATCAGACAGTACCTGGCCCAGTGGCTAGAAAAGCAAGACTGGTAAGGAAAACTCACTGGAGAGAAGTTTATCTATACTTTAAGAATATTTATTGATGAGTGACTTGGAGCCATGTTTGCTGAAAGATGAATCTCATCAGTGGCCGTAGAGATTATCTGTTGCAGGAAAGTTTGATTTAAAAAATGCACATCTCAAGGAGGGGGCTTGAGGGTTAGGAAAGATGGTGGACATCATTATCCTAGACTCATGTATGAAGACATGAATGATGTTACTCTACTTTGTGTACAATCGGAGAAATGAAAAATTGTACTCCATTCGTACACTATGAACTGAAATGCATTCTGCTGTCATGTATAACAAATTAGAACAAATAAAAAATCAGCATACTATAGCGATGCTGCCACATCCATATTTATAGCAGCTCAATTCACAATAGCTAAGCTATGGAACAAACCTAGGTGTCCTTGAACAGATGAATGCATAAAGAAAATGTAGTATATATACACAATGGAGTTTTACTCAACCATAAAGAGAAATGAAATTATTGCATTTGCTGGCAAATGGGTGAAACTGGAGACTATCATGATAAATGAAATAAGCCAATCCCCCAAAACCAAAGGCCCAATGTTCTCTCTGATATGCAGATGCTGACTCACAATAAGCAGCAGTTGGCTTGTGGGGGAGAATAGAAGTTCACTGGATTAGACAAAGGGGAATGAAGGGAAGGGGGGGGGGAGAATGGGAATGGGAAAAACAGTAGAATGAATTAGACATAATTTTCCTATGTTCTTATATGAATATGTGACCAATGTAACTCCACATCATGTACAACCACAAGAATGGGAAGTTATACTGCATGTATGTATGATATGTCAAAATATATTCTACTGTCATGTATAACTGAAAAGAACAAATAAAAATTTAAAAAATTGCACATTTCTACAACATCAAATTCAGCAGTCATTAGCACATTTAAGTAGTTTTGTCAGATTTAATTTGTGTTCTCCCAAATGCTTTGGAAAAGTTAAATAATAACTTCTCCAAAACTCAGGGAAAGTATAAAGGAAGAAATAATTTAAAAGAAATAAGTAGGGCTGTGGTTGTGGCTCACTGGTAGAGCATTTGCCTAGCATGTGTGAGGCAACTGGGTTTGATCCTCAGCACCACATAAAATATAAATAAAATAAAGGTATTGTGTCCATCTATAACTAAAAATATTTTTTAAAAAAGAAATAACTAAAGCCAGATTATGGTAAAATATTGACTAGAAATATGAAGATGGTAATAAATTAAGGGGTATCCATTTAAAGTGGTGTGTTCTATTTTACAATTCATTGCTAGCTGATTGCAAAAACTTTAAACATTCTGAAAGTATTTGACATAAAAAGTGAAGGTCCTGTTGATTTTTTCCCTTTCAGAGATCACTATGAATAGTTTCAGCAAAATCTTTTAAGCACTATATAATTTTTCATGCTAATTGCATATAATAGAAACTATGTATAAACTGCTGCTAAGAACAATATCAGCTCAAAAAAAAGACCATAAAACCTAAGAAACACTTAAAAGTTATTTTAAAATAATTTCAATAAAGAAAGCAATGTTTCTTTTGTCCGTGTTAAATAGTATCTAGAGTGAAGTGTGTAAATTTTATATCTCCTAGGGAGCACGCTGCCAATGATGTTTCATTTGCCACCATCCGTTTCCATGACCTCCTGTCACAGCTAGATGATCAATACAGTCGCTTTTCTTTGGAGAATAATTTTTTGTTGCAGCATAACATAAGGAAAAGCAAGCGTAATCTTCAGGTATGACCTGGTTTTCATGTGTTAGTTCAAGTTCTCCCATGTTTACCCAAGATATATTCAGCAAATAGTACTGACCATACACTCACTGGTATTTAGAGAAGTTGTAGAGATGTACATCCACTCCCTTTATGTGGCTAGTATGTTTAGTATAAGTAAAATAAAATCCTGATTCATTTTATAAGCACACAAGGAATTTTCAAGTTTAAGTGTATCACCTATTAGGTGTCAGTAATTCTGGGAGAACCACAATACTGTAACCTATTTTGCTAAAAATTGTGGATATTGAAATCAAAGAAAAGGCGCTCTCTCTCTCTCTCTCTCTCTCTCTCTCTCTCTCTCTAGATATATATATATATATAGATAGATAGATAGATAGATAGATAGATAGATAGATCGATCTGTTTTTTAACTTGAAATTATTTATTGCATGATAGGAAGATAGGTAGCTTTACAGTTCTCTTTCAGGACTTGAAATTTTTTTCAGATTTAATTTTTTTATTTATATATGATAGTGGAATGCATTACAATTCTTATTACACATATAGAGCACAATTTTTCATATCTCTGGTTGTATACACAGTATATTCACACCAATTCATGTCTTCATAGTCATACAGTAATCTCCAAGGAGCTTTAGTGATCTTAGTCCTTGGGGTGCAGATGAGGAATAAGTCTGAAAATGGGAAGGTTTGACCTCCCACAGGCCCTGTAGTAAGTTGGTCACTTGGTTAGACTCCACCTTTCCTTCCTTCTGGGGGAGTTGCCATTTGTTGGAAGAGGTGACCAAAGGACCATCCAAATGTGAGAAAATGTGCTACAGAATTTTGGGAGTTCTTCAGATGTACTCCCAGTATGCCACATTTATTCTGTATTAGTGCAACTTTTATGTTTTAATAGAGGCAAAAGCTATCACTTTCTTATTTCATGCAACATGACTAAACTTTTCACCTTAGATAATTGAAACTTTCTCAATTCCAGTGAGCGGGGAAATCAGATTAACTTTACATAAGTTTGCTCCCTTTCAGACTTTGTTTGAATGTACCTGTTATAAAGAACCATCCACAATTGACAGTATTTTTCAAACTAGCTTTGACAACGGTAACAGAAAAAGTGAAATGAATATCTTTGGTTGTAATTCAAAGTATAAGCCAACAGCCAGATTAATTGAAGAATATCATAGATAGTTCTTACATCATTTGCATTGTCTTTAGATCCTAACAGACAATAAATAGCCTCAAGAAATAGATAATGATATTAAAGTAAAAGCATTATATGAAGGACTTGAAGGTGTGCCTCAGTGGTAGAATGTGTGGTTAACATGTGTGAGGCCCTGGGTTCACTCTCAGCACTGGAAAAAATATTACATGAATCATGTGTGAAAATTCTTTGTTTTGAAATCAAGAAGTATTTTAGATATCTGTAATTACTTAGTAAGTGAAAGCAATTTCTGTCCTAACTTGTGAAAGGAATATTTTGATTTCCACAAAAATAGCTTATGAGAATTTAATAAATGAGGTATGAGGTTTCCCAAGGAATATAAGCAAGTTCATATCTATTTCTAATACATAATGGCTTAAACATTTGAACTTTGTTTCTTATTATCACCATCTATATCTAGGATAATTTTCAAGAAGACCCAATACAGATGTCTATGATCATCTGTAACTGTCTGAAGGAAGAAAGGAAGATTTTGGAAAATGCCCAGAGATTTAATCAGGTACTTTTTTCTAATTGAACACCAACAATTATAATGAAAATTCATTCATTCATTTCACAAATATTATCCAGGCCCAGATCAAGGCAGTGGTGAACATCCTTCTGATTTTATAGCAAGAAGCAGGGAAAGTCAGGTTGAGAGATTTTATGGAACCTGGCTTTACAAAGGATCCTAACCTAAAGGATCCTAATCCAAAAGATTCTTATCTGGGGACAGGTTTGTTTTGAGCTTCTCAGAGAACACCTGAGTCTTTGAACACCTTAATAAAGGCTTTTATGGCTTGAGGGAAGGTCCTGGTGTCTGGGGGTGTCAGGGACAGTAAAGAGGCACAACAGGAGCCTCCTTTCCACAGTACTCCAGCTTTCCCCTGGCTGCGCAATACAGAAACATTTCTTTTTCCCCTCTTGCTGAAGTAACTGTTGCATCGATATATTTTCTATTCATACAAAAGTATGTATGCATGGGATGATGCTTCAAAATAATCCAGTTTGGGGGCCAGAGGAGAATACAAATAAAACAATAATATCTATGAATTCATAATTAATTTTGAGGGAATGCCTAAAGCCACTAAAAACAGAGCAAAAAACAAAGTTATAGACTAAGTTTACTTATAAATATCAATGTAAATCCTAAACAAAATATCAGGGACCAGAATTAAATACTAGATTAAGAAAATAATGCATTATGACCAAGTAGGACTTATTACATGTTACCAGGGTAGCCCCTGCTTGGGAAATCCATTGTAATTAATTATGTTAATAGTGCAAGGAGAAAAAACATTTTCTTCTCTTCATAGATGCTGAGCAGGTCTGACAAAATCCAATGCCCATTCCTGATCAAAATGTGCCATAAGATAGGAATTGATGCATACTTCTTAAACATACTAAAATATACATCTCTCAGTTCTAGAGACAGTAAGTCACTCAGAAAACTCAAGTTAGAAACACATGACAAGGATGTTCAATATTTTGCTATTTAACATTACATTGTTGATATTGGCTAATGTAATTAGATAAGAAAAAAGTCACTAGAAGCATAAGAATTAAAAACAACATAAAAAAGTATGAGCTCTCCTGAGTTAACTCATAATTTTGTGATGCCAATAAGAACAGCAACAAGTTGTTTTCTAAAGCTGTACCGATGAATTCTGAAATTCATATGAAAAACACACACACATGAATAACAAGAAAACTCCTGAAAAAATATAGCAATGAAATGGGACCAGCCCTATCAGACGTTCTAAAAATTTTCTATCATTAAATGTGGTTCAAAGGTTCAGGCTTATATAGAGACCAATGGGAAGAGGAAGAAAAATCTAGAAATAAATCCAGGTGCATATGGAAGTTTATATGTACAGGTGGCAGTTCAAAGCCCTGGGGAAAATAGGGACTTTCCACTAAATGTAGTTAAGACAGCCAATTGCAAAAAGTTAAACTTGGACCTGTGCTTCACATGGAACATAGGAACAAGCATCATACATTTCAGAAATCCAAATAAATAATTAAAAGCTCTGCTGTGATATTTCATAGTAGGCTGACTGCAGATAACAATTGTGTGCTACATATTTCAGAAAGCTAGGAGAAAGGATATTTCTTCACCATGAAGAAATGACTCATGATTGAGGAGATATGTTTATCCCAATTTAAACATTATACAGTATATACATATGCTGAATTTTCACATTATTATGTACAATTTTTGTATTTTATGTATCAACTAAAAGAAGATAAAATTTTTAAAATGCAAAATATAAAATTAAAGGGCTGGGGTTGTGGCTCAGCGGTAGAGTGCTCGCCTCGCACATGTGAGACCCTGGGTTCGATCCTCAGCACCACATAAAAATAAATAAGTGAAATAAAGGTATTGTGTCCAACTACAACTAAAAAATAAAACATATATATATATATATATATATATATATATATATATATATATATAAATTAAAAAATAAAAGTAAGACATGAAACTATGCAAGTGCTTGGGAAAAAAATGGATGGATTCCTTTATATTCTTTGAGTAGGGAAAGACTTTCTAATATGAGGTCACTAATATGAGCAATCTAGGTATTAAGGAAAGATTAGACTGACTACCTTGAATACATAAAAAATCCCACATAGAATGTACTGTGAAGGACACTGTAAGAAAGGTTGACAGTCACAGTTTTTGCTGTGTGGAGCCTTTAAACAAAAGTAACATCTTTCTAGAATCTAATCTCCATGAAAATAGGGGCCATCCTGATTAACACTTAGTGCCTGGGCCTACCAGGTTGGCTGACATTTACTTAGTACCTAGTGAGTGTGCACTGACAGGGTATACCTTCTGTGATAAACAGACACCCAGGTCTGATTTCCTGGTAGAACTGAAGACTCCCAGGCAAGTCTGGGTTTATATCTATTGGTTTTGTAATAGCAGATTTTCACTGAAGTTCTTAAAGAAATACTTTCCAATTTCAGTATACCTCTGAATCCTTTGGGATGGTGTTAAAATGGGGTTCTGGTTTAGCAATCAGATTAGGACCAGAGTTTACACATTCCAAAAGCTCCCAAGTGATATAAGATGCTGCTGGTCTGGGAACTGAATTTTGAATCACAGGGCTTTAAAATAAATAATGACAGGATTAATATGGATAATGTTAATGAATATACATAAAATGTACAGAATTTGAAAAACCCTTAAGTAATGCCTGTGTGATACCATTCGACTCTAAAAATTGATGGAAACTTCTAGAAACACTATTTATTTTAAGCAAGAACTGAGCCTAGGCTTTCTATAGCCTTTTAACAGTTTGCCAGCATTTTCCAGGGCCTCAGTAACTGAGCTGTTTCTTATTGACACACATGTGGGAAACTTGTAGTAAGTTTTGGAAGGTCTGGAGGTAGGTGGGGCTCAAGGTGTGAACTTGACTTTGGAGTGTAGCCAGTGAGTAAATGCATCAGAAGATGATGGCTGCTAACTATGCACTTCCCATTACAGGCTCAGGCAGGGAATATTCAGAACACCGTGATGCTAGACAAACAGAAGGAGCTTGACAACAAAGTTAGAAATGTGAAGGATCAGGTTATGGTGAGTATGGAGAGAAACATGCATTTATTCTGTAACTGTTTATAGGGGAAAATGATTTCAGTTGCCCTGAGTGCAAACCTAAGAAGGAGTCTTTTGAGTAGTTGAGAAGAAAATTTTTGCTGCAGGTTTAAACCAGAAGTAAACAAATCAGTAAAGCCAGCGAACAGCTAGACTTTTTATAGTCCTATCATAACTTCCAAACATCCAGTTTATTTTTCTGCCTTCAAGATCATGCAGTAAATGTTGACTTTGCCCCATTATGCACTAAACTGCTGCACTAAACAGTCCTTCAACATCCACACTCTCAAATCAAATCAGGGTTGTTCTGGGAGTCACACAGAGCCTTAGGGTAAGCAAGGCCTATCTTCCTCAAGCACAATTTATTTTTTTCCAAGCACATATTTTTATACTAAGACTTGGAGGAGGAGCCAAAAAAAAAAAAAAAAAAACATTTCATTGAAAGAAATTCCTGTACATTTCTAATTAGAGTAAGATAATTGGCAGCAATTTTAAGATAAAACTTGGAAGATAGCATATGGAAGCAGAGGGCTGCCACAGCCCCCTTGTTGGCCTGTGTTAATTCTTCTCCACTGAGGTTACCTGGGGAAAGGTTAAGGAGCTCTGCTTCACATGAGGCCCACATTTGTGGAAAGGCCTTCCAGCGAGAGGTCCAGTCCTGCCCTGGGTCTCTGGGTAATACCAGCATGGCCTGGACTCCTGTGTTTTAGATGACATTTTTTCCAAACCCCAGACTCAGGAGCAGTAGTGTCCTGCGATCTCCTAGGGGAACACAGCATTAAAGTGGAAACCAAGCAAGCTTGGTCTGGAAAAGCTATGGAAATCTAGAGAAGGATGTGTATAGATGTGACCAAATGCAAAAGAAATGAAGCTTATTTATAAAGTGCATGTACAATTTGTTGTCCGAATTCAGATGTGTCTGAATAAGAGGCCCCTGTTAATAATTACACCTTGACAGCAGGTGCTCAACCAGGACTGTCCCAGTTAAACAGATGTGCATGGTCACCCTCCTCATTTGTAAGATCTGAGAACATTTTCCATGAGCTTGCTTTGTCCTGCTGTGTGCTTCATGATGCAGTTGCTAAGTCACACCTTAGAGGTAGTCTCAGAAATGATGAGGAACAGTCAAAATTTAGGCCCTGAGCCAGGTAATAACAATTTGAGAATTGTTACATATTTTCATTATTTTTTAATGTTATTACCTTCTTATCAGTGAGAATGATAGTATTTCACCTGTGTAGTTAGAGCTTCACAAGGCTTATTCATCTTTAAGGGAGCTAGAATTATATATTCCTGGATTCTGTAGAAGCAATAATCTGTTTCCTGAAGTCTTTGGAATCTGATAATCAGAGGAAAACTTGTTCATATATTTATCTGCAGTCTATAGAACATGAAATCAAGACCCTAGAAGATTTACAAGATGAATATGACTTTAAATGCAAGACCTTGCAGAATAGAGGTAAGAGTTAACCAGGAAAGTAGTGCCCCTGGGCTCTGTGCCTTCCTATCAACACCAGATAACAAAGGAAATCACTCCTTTACATTTGCCAAGCATTTTCTAGCTCTGAGTTACTGATTTCGTCTTCTTGATCACCCAGACCTTCACATTTCAGACAATATAATTATTTGTCATGGGGCTTTCAGTAGTATCCCTGACTTCTTCCCACCAGATGTCAGCAGCACTACCCTTCCGCCCCCAGTGGTGACAGCCCAAACTGTCCCCAGACATTGCTGAATGTCCCCAGTGGGGTGGGCAAATTCACTCCCAGTGGATAACCACTGACCATGTGTAACACACCTTATTGTTTGTTGTATCTAGCCCACTGATTGGCATAGACTGGTAGATGTTGCTTCAAATATTTCAGATCATGTGTATACACTGCAGATAGGTTCAGCATTTTTCTCATTTACTGTTTTAAAGCAGTTTCAATTTATTTTGTTGTTCCTGCTTATTAGTAACAGTAGTAGCAACTAAAAATAATCCCAGAATGTGCATTGTATAGAACAGGTAGAGTACCACATTTATCCTTGTCTAGTGAACATTTGATTGCTAGGGAGAGATTATCAGTATGATTTGGGTAAACAGTGTGAGAGAAAGAAACCTCAACTACTAGTTGTCCTTTTCTCTTTCCAAGCCATAGATGTATTTCATATACACTTTTTTATCTGAAGTTTTGAATTTTGTCATTTATACTTAAGTAATATTCTGACAGTGATTTAAGTAGAATAGTAGTATTGTTTCCAATTACATGAGTCACTGAAAACTAGTATTTTATTTCAATGTGCCCAGTTTTATACATTAGGGCATTTTTGTTGTTGTTGTTGTTCTTTTCAATAAAGGTTGAAGGCCAGACTTTGAGTTGATATCATATTTCTCCTAAATCTGTGTGATGGTTAGCTTTAATTTTTATCTTTTTACACATATGTATTTGTCCACTGTCTTTCAATTCACAGAACATGAAACCAATGGTGCAGCAAAGAATGACCAGAAACAGGAAGAGCTCTCTCTCCAGAAGATGTTTTTAATGCTTGACCATAAGAGAAAGGTAGGCCTTGCTTTCCAGAACAGCATGTTGCTTTTGTCACAGGCTGTAACTAATGGAAGTTAGTTTAGAAGAGAGGAAAAATTATTTTTATAACCACTTGGATTAGAGCCCCAGTTGAGAATGAAAGGATATTTGCTTTGCTTTGGAGAAAATCTTTTTTTTTTTCATTGATTAAAAGTGAATTTATTTCACGTGGTTTCTTCCTCTCCCTTTAGGAAATAGTTCACAAAATTCGAGAGCTGCTGAATATCACTGAACTTACCCAGAATGCCCTGATTAATGATGAGCTAGTGGAGTGGAAGCGGAGACAGCAGAGTGCCTGTATTGGGGGGCCACCCAATGCTTGCCTTGATCAGCTGCAGAACTGGTGAGTCTCCAGAGTGGAACACTGGCAGCTGACTGGCTGACCACAGAAACTCATAAAGAGCACCTTTAGTGAAATGAGCCCTGTCAAAACTTTGGTTTAGAGTTTGACATAGTCCAGCTTCTTCTTACCCTGGAAACTCTTGGAAAGTTCAGTGTTGTGTGTGACTGTCACCATGGTCACCAAGTCTGCTTGATTTGGAGCATTCTTGGACTATGGGCTGTATCATTGGACTGTACCAAAACCCCAGTGACGTGTTTGTTAACGTAACACATTCAACAACTTGAGTCCTGATGTTTTATTAAAAATAAAACATCTTGAGTCATTTTCTAGGCTTACATGAAATAGTGGTTTGTCATGGGCCACCCACTCAGCCGTCCATCTGGTAAGTATGAAATGCTAGCTCTGTGCTGGGACCTGGGCACACGAAGATTGATTCTTGGGCCTTGCCCTTCATTTCCCAGTGTGGAGGGGAAGACGATATGGGAATACTTCTGAACAGTGAAGGGTTCCAGATGCTCTAGCAAAAAGAGGGCAGAGGAGGTGGTCTGCTCTGGCTCTCTGAATGGGAGGAGAAGTTCTTCCCAGCAGAGAGAGGAGGTAGGCGGAGGCCCAGAGGCACACTGGATGGCTGGAAAATGCCAGGGAGACAGAGGCAAAAGATGCCTCAGCTCGGTCATGAAGGTTCTTAGCTCCACGCTGAGAATGAGGGTCTTTACTCAGGGTGCACTAAAGGCAAAGGCAGGCTTTTGGCCTAAGCAGGAGTTATATTTCTCTGATTTTTATTTAGAAAGGGCACTCTGGCAGCAGCTTGGAGAAGAGAGACAGAAAGGCTGATTGGGATGCTATTAGCATATTACTGTGTCCTGGGAAGGGACCAAGAGCTGAACTTGGGGTGGACCAAAAGGGATGGAAGAGGTGGGATCTCAGAGTGAACCTGAGAGGATGGTGGCCTGAGATAATTGCCAAACACCCAAGCACCAGAGACCTAGTGGGGTTATTTTCATGAGATTGCAGTGCTGATTTTTTAAAAATCACAGTTAATATTCAGCCATTTATTTTTATTCTGTGAATTAATTGCCTGTACATATTCCAAATTTCTTGTGGATTAGAGCAGAGCTTCCCATCCCAGACGGCGCCTAGATACTGACCCCCTGAGCCCTCCAGGTGGTCAGGGAAGTGCTGGGGTGTCTGGAGCCCCCTAGTGGTCATCAGAGGCTGTAGGCACTTCTTCCTGAGACAGAAGTGTTCCAGTGTTCCCCAGATGTAGGGTTGTTTCCTGTGTGCCATGGCTGGGACTGGAAGTGGACTGGGAGATGCTGGGCAGCATCTCCTTGGGAACTCACCAGCCACCACCCTGTATTCACATTTTTGTGATGGAGAATGGCTCTCAGTACTTGGAACTGGATTCAAGAAGTAAAACTACTAAGCAAAGTTAACGTTCTTCAGCGGGAAGATGTTTTCAAAAGATTTCATCTGTCATCCTCCAGGCAAATAAAATGGCCCTTCCACAGCACACCTGGGCTTAGGGGCTATGTCACCATTAGCACTGACTCTAAGGAAGGAACACCTAAAATCCATCTCTAGGTTTTCTCACTGCCTTCTTATTTTAGAGTCTAGGTGAAGTCTATTACTTTCTCCTCTCACTTGAGTGAAACAGTGGTCTTGGTTCTTCCCTCCCCTTCCTGCATGGTCCCACAGCTTCCAGACTCTCTTTTGCATGGTGTCTCTGACAGGTCTCACCAAGGCTGGTTGCTCATGGTCACTGTCTTTCTGTAAAACTTCCGCGGAGCCTCACTGTCTCGCACCGCCTGAAGGCATCCCCTTGCATTTCCCCTGACTCTGCCTTCCTCTTTGCCCTCTTTAAATCCCAGATACCTTTAAGGTCAATTGAAGTTACAGATCACCTGGAAGCTCTGCCCCACCCATCTCTGCACACTAGTGTAGGTCTCCGGAGTGTACAGAAGCTTTTGATCCAGGCCCTAACCAATCAGTGGATGTTAATTTTTTTTTCCTCCAAAATAACTGAGCTCCTAATGACAACATAAGCCTCGCCTCCCCCACCCTTCCTTCACTTCTCCCTGGAGTGTGGAGTCCACAACATGGGTAATAATATGTTGCCCAAACAGCTCATGGATTCCTATAATTCTCTTCAACCCAGGCTGCTTTGAGACCGTTGCTCATTGAGACACCTGTGTCTTGTACCTTCCCAGGTTCACCATAGTTGCAGAGAGTCTGCAGCAGGTTCGTCAGCAGCTAAAAAAGCTGGAGGAACTGGAGCAGAAGTACACCTACGATCACGACCCTATCACAAAAAATAAAAAGGTGTTATGGGAACGCACTTTCAGCCTCTTCCAGCAGCTCATTCAGAGGTAACTCCAGGGGGATTTATTTGCATCTACTGCAGTTGATTTATGCAGAGGAACATCTTTTTGGCAATTCAGATAATTTAGAAGGATTTAATATTTAATAGGCTAGACACATTTCTTAATGGCATTTGACTTCCTGAATTCCTTGCTTATGCTAGTGGTCCTCCAGTCTTCCTAGGCTGGAAGCCACAGCACCCTTAATTTTTACTGCCCCTCAGCCACTCTATGCCAGGACCTAGCATGTCTGCCACCAGGGTGTTTATCCTCTCCTTCCTGTACCTTGGCCTCATGGTGTTTCAGGTTCTCAAATCTTCTTTTCTGGACTCTTACATAGTAGCCTCCCAACCAGGCCCCTTTTCCAGCCCATGCACCCTAGCTCCTGAGACCCAGGGGTGTCCCAGGACAGAGGTCTCATCACGTAGCAAATGGGGCACCTCAGCTGGACATTCCTGGCCCACTTCCACAAACTGGACCTGCTGGCTGCTCCTCTCAGCTTCTTCACATACCCCATTTCCATGCAGATGCCAACTTGCTCTTTCCTGGGCCCACGCTGTACAGTTTCTTCTCCACGGCTCTATTTCCTTTACCTCAAGCCTTCTTGTCATACCTACTGTCCTCATTATATCACCCTCAAGGTTTTAGTTTGTGCCTCACCATTAAACCTTCCCAGAGTTCCTAAGCAGATATTCTCTCCCTTGCAGACCTGCCCAGTTCATTCTCTATTCCTCTCCTGTTCTGCCTTTGATTAGAAAACTGCTTATGTGTTTCTGTTATCTTTGTTGAAAATGGGAAGGTTCTTTGTCATCCTTCCTCCCCACTCCTGCCCCCATGGGGCTAGCACATTGCCTTGTAAAGAATAGTTTTTCCAAACTAAGCAAAAGAGTAGAGTTCCTATTGCAAGTGTCTTTCTTTCTTTCTTTCTTTCTTTCTCTCTCTCTCTCTCTCTCTTTCTTTCCTTCCTTCCTTCTCTCTTTCTTTCTTTCTCTTTCTTTTTTTGTTTTAACATTAACTTGTCATTGAAAATATTAAGGACATTTGAATTCTTTTATTGAAAAATTTGATTCTTAATGCAAATTTGTAAATGAACATAAATGATTTTGGACTCTTCATTGTTGGATAGTGTCATAAGTTTTTACAATTACTCTGTTTGTTGTTGTTGTTTATTTGTTTTGTACCAGGGATTGAACTCGGGGGCAATTAACCACTGAGCTACATCCCCTGCCCTTTTTTTTATTTTTTAATTTGAGACAAGGTTTCACTAAGTTGCTTAGGGCCTTGCTAAGTTACTGAGGCTGGGCTTGAACTTGTGATCTTTCTGCCTCAGCCTCCTGAGCCACTAGGATTACAGGCTTGCTTGGGTTTGGGGATTTCTCTTCTAACTAATGGAATTATTTTGTCCATACAATTTGTCAGATTCCTGCAGACTGGTTTTTAGGTTATGTTCTCTATTTGTTTCCTAAGGAAAATTATTTCTTCTTTTGCTGCCTCAACCTTGATGGACATGCTAATTTGTCTATTCTTTCTGGGTATTTATAGTTCATTTGTGGTGGAGAGACAGCCATGCATGCCGACTCATCCTCAGAGGCCACTGGTCTTGAAGACGGGGGTACAGTTCACTGTGAAATTGAGGTAATAAAGATGTACTTCCATATGCTATCTGTCCTGTAATTTGTACCCCTAATTTTCTTTTACATAATGGTTGTATAGGTACTTTAGAGGAAATAATTTTTCATGAAATAATTTAATATGAATTGTTACTTAGAATATCCAAGATTCTATCCTTTATGCTCAGGATAGAAATATAGCCAATGTATATGCAAATATATACACACCTGGGATTTTTTCCAAATGTAAATGTAATGCATATTCATAGTAAAAAGGAATACATAATTGCAGAAATGCATATGATAAAGAGTGAGAAAGTTCCCCAGCCACACCTTGAGCAGAGGCTCATAACCTGAGCTTTATGAACCCCTAAAACTGAAGTATTGTATGCAGACATAGATTATGTTATACATTTTTCTGGTGAGCTCATAGCTTTTATCAGTTTCCCAAAGTGGTCTGTGATCTAAGTCTGTGGACCACAACAGTACAGAGCCTTGTGTTTGTCTTTCCATAATTTTGTCTATGTCTACACAAATATGTGTAAATCCATGCATGTACATATATATTTCATACATAGGCACACATGCACATAAAATTTAGGACAAATAGTATTTCATTTTTTAGAACTAGGCTTCTACAAAGGTGGTATTTTGTAGCTGCTTTTCTACTTGTTGATAATGGTAGACCTGGTCTGGGTGAGAACATGCAGCTTTGCCCTGTTCTAAAGGATGGGTACGTTCATTTACTCTTTCCTCTAGAGTTGAGCAGTTAGACCCTGAAGAGCTGGTCTTGCCTTCAGGGTTGGCCATTGTTGATTCAGGTCCACAGGTGCTGCTTCCCTGCCTGGCACAGTTACAGTAGCACAGATAAGCACCCATGGGATCCACAACTCACAGTGGGCAGGAATAGTGGACATCTGATCCTGGCCCCTGCTCCACTGAACAGAGCTGACCAGAGACCTGAGCATTCTTCCCCACAGTCCCCAGCTAATGGAGCAGAGGCATGTGATGTCTCAGCCCAGTCTCTTGCCTTCCATCTTTCCATACCTCCATGGAGTGATAAAGCCGGACCCTCATTTTTCTGGTTATGGATGATAGTTTTGATTTTCTCCCAAGAGGGCAGAAAATCAGATAAAAGTTTTATAGAGTAACATTCACTATTTTCACCATATAGATTGGCCCAGAGTACAAACTTTGATGAACTCTGTGTTGGCAAGTTTATTTGAAGAAGCTGCTACTCTCACTAATTTTGATGGGAATGTAGAATTAATACTGTGTGCCATCAGAATTTAATATTAAATTTTGCCTCCAGCAATTTTACAGCTAGGAATTAACCCTACAAATGCAGTTAGGAAAAAGCTAAGTAGATATGAAAGCGTGTCAGTTTCATTGTTTGTAAAAATCAAAAATTGGAGGGGGAATGTTTTATATAAATGTACATATATGGGGAATTGGCATAATAAGTAAACTGTAATAGATAATTTTTTTAAAATAATGTCTTTTATTTTTCTTTCCAGACTGTTGGTGAAATTGCAAGAGCTGAATTATAATTTGAAAGTCAAAGTCTTATTTGACAAGTGAGATATTTTTAATATTATCTAAGATACATGTACTATTGAAATACTGATTTTTCTTTTTGGAAGAGGGGTACCAGGGATTGAACTCAGGGGCACTTGACCACTAAGCCACATCCCCAGTCCTACTTTGTATTTTATTTAGAGACAGGGTCTTACTGAGTTGCTTAGCGCCTCACTTTTGCTGAGGCTGGCTTTGAACTTATGATCCTCTTGCCTCAGCCACTGGGATTATAGGTGTATGCCACCATACCCAGCTGAAGTGCTGATTTTATTAACCATATATGGACTCCTCCATTAAATAAGCTGATTCATCAACCGTTCAACCTCTCTGCACTGGGAGGAAGTTTGCCACCTCCCTGGGGACCTAGGGCTGAGCCCAGGGTCCTAACTCTGCTGCCTATGAGCAGAGGATCCATCCTAGTCAGATCCACTAGAACTGTTATAAATGATCCAATAGATTTAAATTAATGGCGCTCGATCCAACAGAGCTGAAGATCCAGCTGTAAGACTGTGGCCAGCCGGGAGGCTGTCGTTTCTAGAGTGAGGTTACAGGCTTTGGGGAGCATACATGGAAACTGCTGCTGTCACCCTTTTCTTTTTGGGTTATCAGGGACCCAAAAATTGGCAGCATCTTTCATGGGGGTCCAGATGGAGCAGCCCATCCCACTTTGCCCTTAGACCTCAGACCTGAACTAGCAGTGACTCACCATTTACCTTGCCAGGCTGTCTCCCCCCACATGTATTTAATGCTTTTGTTATCTTGTATTATCTACTGATTTAGTAAGTTTCCAAACCATTTATGGGAATTCAGATCATTTTCCTCTGGCTTTTGGCTTTTTTCACTCCTGTAAAAGTCATCTTCCTTGTAGTACTGCCTGCACCTTTGTCTTCCCTTTGGGCAAGCCATTGTCTTCGACTTCTCTGTAAACCAGTTAGCTTTTACTGCAGAACAAACCATCCCTAAACTTAGTAGCTCAACGCCCAAAAACCTACTGTTTCTCATATGCTGTGAGCTGTAGATGGCCCTTCTGGTCTGGGCTCGTTTGGCTGGAGATGACTGGTCTAGCGTGGCCTTGTTACATATCAGGGGTCTCAGCTGGAGTAACAGGGTCCTCCTTCATGTGTCTCTGAGAGGCCACCCTGAGCCTGTCACATGGCGACAATGTTCTTCCAGCAGGTGGAGGCTAGCCTTGAACTTGTGCAGTCAGTCCCATCCATTCTGTCATTAGAAGCAAGTCAAGGCCAGCCGAGGTACAAGGGATGGCAAGTACTTCTCAGGGACAGCTCGCCACACTGCTTTTGCTCAGTTCTTTCAGCTTGTTTGTGCCCCTTTTTCTTTTCGGTCTGTTCAGCTCTTTTTTTTTCTTCTTCTTTTGATAAGGCAACTTTGAATCATACTGTTACTTTTATTTTAAATTCTTTTTTTTTTCGAACAGGGAAAAATAGGTCCCTTTTATACTATTATTATTCACAATGTCACACTGACATTCTAGCTGAGATAGGAAAGGAAGGGCAGCTAACTCCTGTGAGTGAGCTAGTGATTTCTCATTTACATCTATGCCACCAACAGATACATTATTTGGCCCGAACATGACAGTCCCTTTTAGGTTGTTAGAAAGTCCTTAAAGGTACTTGAAACTGGGTACTTTATATAAAGAAAATAGGTCTATTTAGCTCACAGTTCTGAAGGCTGTGAATTTCAAGATCAGGTGACAGCGGCTGGCAAGGGTCTCGTGTTATGGCACAATGTGGTGGGTGGTATCCCATGGCAGGCATGTGAGAAACTCATGGTGAGAGAGGAAACAAAAGAGTAATCTGGGAAGGCCAGCTGTGCCTCATAACAACCGGCTCATGGAGTAATCAGTGCAGTATCACAAGACCTAGCCCACTCCTCCAAGGCAGGCCTTGATGGCTTCTAAGGGCAGCACCCCAGTGACCTAATCATTTCCCACTGAGCCTCACCTCTGAACATCACCACCCTGGGCACTAGGCTTCCCATACAGGAAGCTTTTGGGGACAAACTGTATCCAATTGTAGCTTGCCAAAGTGTTCACTGAATTTATATGAGGTGCAAGATCTTTCAAGATTTTAAACTCAAACTGAAACGTGCCTGTTTCCCCAAATAATCGACTGTTCTGGTACTTTCACAAGAGTATTGAAGATAACAGAGAAAATATATATATAAAATTAAGCAGTCACCTTGGAAGGTCCTCGGGGTTCTGTGGCACCAGAGCAGTGTGTCTGCTGGAGCTCCAGTGCAGAGCGCGGACTCGGCTCATGTTTCTTGAAGTTGTCCTCTGCTCTTTTCACCCCTCGGCTCCTCACAGTGTCCCCTAAGGCTGGTGCTGTTAGCTTGTTGGACAAACAAGGAACGTGAGGCTCAGGTGGTTTCTTTGCCTGAGATCTTGGCTTGGTGTATACGAGTAGGTGGAGGAAGGGAGTGGATGAGTCAACAGGGCAGCAAACCCACGGGCATGAATTTATTTTTACTTACATACATACTTCTGTATTTCTTTTAAAACTTATTTCAGTCTTAAATGCCCAGGTGTAATTTTGTATATATCTATCTTTTTTTCCCCCAGAGATGTGAATGAGAGAAACACTGTAAAAGGGTACGTGATGTATTTTGTACTATAGTTTGTTCTCTTGTTTGTTTGTGTCTAATAGCTTGAAGCCTTTTAATTATTTTTCTCCTGTATTGTATAGATTTAGGAAATTCAATATTTTGGGGACACACACGAAAGTGATGAACATGGAGGAATCCACCAATGGAAGTCTGGCGGCTGAATTCCGACACCTGGTAGGGAGACCCGCAGGCTTCCCCTCTTAATACTGTCTGATCTTTTAGCACTCTTGACACTGGAGTGGCACTCAGTGGCACTTTGCAGTGATGGCTTCTCATCACCCGCCCTTAGGGCATCCTGCTTTGTCCTCCTTGTCCAGGGTTGTTCCTTCTGCTTTCCACCCGACTGTCTCAGAAATGCTCCTTTAGGCTGCGGTGGTCTCAGTTCAAGTATTTTATAAACACATGTGCACATAAGTTAGAGCGGCTCTTGTGGCTCCAAGATCTGTGACCAGTCACTCTGGCCCCCTGCAGTTCCCACAGGGTTATGGCTCCTGACTGCTCCTTCTCCCGCTCTCCACGTCCCCAGCAGCCTGACTCTACCACTTTCTTTTCCGAGAAGGAGCCCCCCTTCTTCAGCCTGGCAATAGAAATTCAGGGGTCTGTTTTAAGTGGGTGCTGCCTTTTTTTCTGTGTCTGTGAAAAGAGTAGCTGCCAGATGTTCTGAGGCTCCCAACATCTGGGCTGAGCCTGAAGGGAGGGTGGAGGCAGCTTTCTCATTAATGACCATCCTCTGAGCCAACAAGTATCATAGCTAGATAACTGCACACTGGGTGAGATCCTTGGTGCTCCTGGGGAGCATGAGGGTGTCCAGAGCTGTCCACTGACCCCACATGGCTCACTGGAACCTGGGGATTGAAATCTGCTTGAGGGCGGTTTTATCTGGGCCTGGCGTCACTAGATTCTAGCTAGAAGTCTCTGCTGAGGGAATAAGGAGGGGAAGCTGTCTCCAGAGCCTGGGGGACAATGAAACAGCCAATGAGGGCACTTGGCGGATTGTTACTGGGGTAAGGAGCAGGATGCTGTTCGCAGGCAAGGGCCATTTTGCCTCTTGTTCTGAATTCTAGAGATAATGTCATGTCCTTTCTAGCCCTTCCATGGGCTGTTTTAATCTGGTGATGCCCACTTTCGTCTGATTTATAAATGAAGACATGGACTTTGATGGTGAACATGTGGTTTACTGTGATGTTTCTTGTTTTATAGCAACTGAAAGAGCAGAAAAATGCTGGCAACAGAACTAATGAGGTGAGGGTCTCCGGTTGTATGGGCCCTGATCAGGCAGGTCTTCCAGTGGGGGTGTGTCTGTGGTTCTGGTGGCCAGGCAGGAAAGGGAACTGGGTGTATCTGTGATAATGGGGCCTTCGTTCATGCTTTATAAAGGTTGTCAAAGAATTTTGCTTATGACCTCATTGGACCCACACAGACAGCCCAGTGGGGTGGGGGATGGCATGGTGGGCTTCGGTATTCTTCTCATCTTCAAATCTTGAGGAAATTGAGTCACAGGAAGCTTGTAGGATTTAGCTCGGGTTTCTGAGAACTACTGTCAGCTGGAGTGAGAGGTCAGTTTATGACTACATGCCAAACACCAGGTGTTGAGAGGGTTCTCCTGCCTCATGTCCCCTACCCAGTAGCAGTATTTTCACAGTTTCTTCTCACAACCTGATCCTCGAGGAGTTGTGTTGTGTTTGTGATGCATTCAAAAATAATCTGTGGACCAAGGACACAATGTCTGGTTTGGAATGTTTGGTTTGGCCTGTTTTTGCCCTTCCACATCACGACCAGTGGAGGTCACTAGAACAATGAGACACATGCTGGTCTGTTCAGCACAGACACCTTCCAGCCCCAGTTTGCACTGAAGCTGTCTCTGTGACCTCCTGGGTCCAGCAGCTGCCCTCCCTAGTTCTAAGTTGTCGTGATGCTTATGTTACATAATGTGTGTGAAGGTGCTTTGAAAACCATTTGTTCCTACTTATACCAAAGCACTTTGTGACCTGCCATGCTCAGTGGGAATCTACCTGGAAAGTGAATTCTTTCCCTGAATTCCATGAGAGTACAGCCACAGAGCCTTAAGTCATGAAAAACCCTTAAGAAGTTGCTTTTGCCCACTGATGTTTCTTCCTCTGAATTGATATCCCTTGCTATAATTTCAGACATTTTATCATGAGAGAACACTGAGAGGCTTGGAATAATCAAATCTGGTTTAAGTTATTGAATATTGGAGTCTTCTGAGTTACAGCAGATTGGTCTAGTACCCTTGTAACCTGTTTATTCAGGGTTTGTTTTTTTTTTTTTTTTTTTTGTATTGGAGGGATTGATTAACCACTGAGCCACATCCCCTGCCCTTTTTATTTTTTTATTTTGAGACACAGTCTCACTGAGTTTGCTCAGGATCTCACTGAATTGCTGAGACTAGCTTTGAATGTGCAGTTCTCCTGCCTCAGCCTCCTAAGCTGCTGGGATCACAGGTGTGCGCCACTATACCTGGTGTTTATTCAGTTTTGAAATTTGTACGATCAGGGACTGAATGTTTACATTCTCTCTTTCTCCTTTTTTTCCTCTCCCAAGGGTCCTCTTGTTGTCACTGAAGAGCTTCACTCCCTTAGTTTTGAAACTCAGTTGTGCCAGCCTGGCCTGGTCATTGACCTCGAGGTAAGATTTCCAGGGTCTCAAGGTAAAAGCTTTATTTTTACTTCTAACTAGTTAGTGTTTCTCAATTTTTGTTTTATCAATATTTACTTAATCATAAAAAGTGATGATCTTTTTCAGTTAATACTATTTGATATTAATCTAAGGGTCCAGGAAGCTAGAGAATTGAATTAGCCTTCAAATTATGTAAGCTAAATATTCCAGTTGAGATAGCCATTGTTAACTTTTTTATATTAAGTCTTGGAACATATATCTTAACTGAAAAATATTTCAAAGATAAACTGTGAACAAAAGAATCTAACCTTACATTTAAAATTTTCAAATATAAAATGTATATAAAATTACAAATAACCCATTTGCTTAAGCTGTTGTTTCAAGGTGATAGATCTGTGATTCAGATGGTTTCAAGGTCTTTATCAACTTTTAGACGACCTCGCTGCCCGTCGTGGTGATCTCCAACGTCAGCCAGCTCCCTAGTGGTTGGGCCTCCATCCTGTGGTACAACATGCTGGTGGCGGAACCCAGGGTATGGAAAACACAGTTGCGATTGTACTAAGGGTGAAACAAAGACCCCATGTTCTCGTTACCACACCTTCAGAATAGCCCCCAGTGGCCAGATATTGAGGGAGAAGTGACAAAGTCATGTGACATTTCTAAGGATCTTAAGTAATTCTGGGAGAGCGAAGCACAGACACTAGAAATGAGAATAATGATTTCCTTCATGTAATGAGAGAGCTCAGGCAATAGATGATTTTGTACCACTTTTATTGTGGAAGAGGTCCTTTACTGCCTTTTTTTTTTTCTTTTTAATGTATCACCTACTAGGCAAACGTGCTGAATTTTTACAACAATCACACTCACAGTTGACTCTCTTTATTTATTCAAAGTGCTCGTGTTCTTGGAAGTTACCAAGAACATTTAGTGAATGTTCAATCATTGTTCCTAGGGGAAATACAGGGTTTGTTCCTGTGAGACTCTGGTCACATGTCTGTTACCCCATCAGTGCACAATTTGTTTATATGCATTTCTGTTTAAAGGCACCTTATCTAATATATCTGACAATTTGTTGATGTGGACTTTATAGCCAGTAGCACAATAACTCATGCCTAAAGGAAGCTATTTTACTGCATGGATTTTCCCATAAGGCACATGGCAGCCTTCTTGTGCTTAGGTACATCAGACAGCACTTTAGCACGACACTGTGCACGATTTTAAGCAATGAAATCACCAATCAGGAATCACAAAATGAAAAAACCATTGCACTAAGCAAGACACAGAGGAGACCTGTTTATAGTGTGAGAAATAGGAAATCAGGATATTATTCTCTTTGGGAGAACAGAGTTCAGTTGGGAACATGTGTGTTGAGGGGACTAACAGTTTTTGGTACTCTCTGTATGGGCTTATCTTCAAATGACCACAAAGTGCCAGGAGAATTGATTCTGTAATTAGAAGTAAATCACAATGAGTTAACAAATTCATATATGTGAATTGGCAAATAATGAGAATTCTCTTCCCTAATTGTGGGAATGCATATGTATTGTATAAACTAGACCAAAATTTGGGCCGGGCCCATGTGGTGGTGCCTCACTAGTGACTGGCGACTCTTTATCAACCCTGGCTTTGGGTCCTTTTCTTCTAGAATCTGTCCTTCTTCTTGAACCCACCATGTGCACGATGGTCTCAGCTCTCAGAGGTACTGAGTTGGCAGTTTTCATCCGTCACCAAGAGAGGTCTCAACGTGGACCAGCTGAGCATGTTGGGAGAGAAACTTCTGGGTAGGAGCCTAGTAACTTTTTGTCTATGTAAAAAATATAAATTCATAAAAATATCTCTTTTGACTCTTGTGATCCTCTTTGTTCTCCATTTTTTTGAAGGTAGAGAGTGTTTCTAAAAACTGTTGGCATTTCAAGCTGCAGCTTATTGAGATAGCTAATTGAGAATGGGACTTCACCCTGGGGAGAAATGTAGACCTGATAACAGGGTTACATGAATTCTTTCCTGGTTGTCCCTCTTATTAACATTTCTGAGAAAGAATCTGAAGGGAAAGCTTTTTGGATTATGTACTTTCAATGAACAGAAGCATCTGAACCACTCCTTTAAAAATTCTTGAACAACTCTTATCCAGATTTGCTTTCTATGCAGCGGGGCTGCATATACCACGCCAGTGGGCTCTTCTGAACCAGATGGCCTTCAACGGTTCCCTCCCAGCTGTGTCACTGACAGCATGGGGGGCTAGTCTTCTGCTATTTAATAAGAAGTATAAAATCATCTTATTCCATTTCCTTATTTGTGGAGAGTCAAGAAATGTATCTTTTCTACCTGTCACGGCATAAGCAGTGGACTTACCCCATCTTATTCCCTGGTTAACTTTAACAACTTGGTGTTATTAGCTCTTAGCTTCTAGTAATACCTAGGCTTCCTCTTATTTCTCTTGCTTGGCTTATGATTTGCATCCACTTCCCTGAGCCCATGTCCTGTTTGGAGGAGCACTGAGAGAGATCTGTAATCAATGTCTAAAAATAAGCTTGGAAAGTCAAGCCTCAAAGTTAGGTTCTTCACATAGGGTAATCTTGATCTTGGTTTGAACTTCCACAAAAAATGCCACAGGGTCTTTAGAGAGGAGACTGTGCTGAGGCAGTAACAGGAGGCAGTGGGAAATGATCCTGCATAGGGAGGGACCAAAGGGAGCTTTGCTTTAATGCCAAAGACAGTCAGCTCAGGAGGGACTATAGTGTGGAGGATTTAAGAGATGTGTCCTCTTCAGAAGAGAGGGAGAGATAAAAGGGGCTGGAGAGAAAGGAGCAGATGGTGAGGCTTTTTGATGCTTCCGCTTTCCCTAAAAACTCTCATAATCATAGTGCCCAGTAATTTGTCACCAATTCTTTCATGCCATTAAAATCAAACCAGCATGAATGAAACTGTTCATGTTTTGGATTGTTTCAGTTCTGTAGTTCTGTCCTTTCATAGCCTAGATGATAATTGCTCAATTAATGTAGCATTAATATTTCTGAGTCTAACAACCATGTACATACACTCTTTTGGGTGTTAGTTCTTTGAGAGCAAATATAAGTCTGATCAAGGCACCAGAACTATTTTCTGTTTACTGAAAAAGCTTATTTTGTTGTTGTTGTTGTTGTTTAGGTCCTAATGCTGGCCTGGATGGTCTTATTCCGTGGACCAGGTTTTGTAAGGTGGGTATTACTGGGGCTCTATCCTCTCTGCACTCTCTGTGGTGGTTCTCCTTTTCCTCACTGTGGTGCTTAACTGTTTGCTTATTCTGGCATGTTTGCCTCTCACCCACGGAGCCCTGAGGGCAAGTTGTTTACTTTCCTTCAGGGCTGGAGGTTTCTGGAGGTCAGTCTCCAAGCCAGAGTCTGACGGGAAGCACCTGCCTGAGTGATAACATTCTTTCATATCCGAAATGAGTCTTCAGTTCCCTCACACCAGCCCACTGCCCAGCAGTGTTTTGGCCTTGTCCATGTGAAACGTGAGCTTGGCCTGACTGGCCTGATGAGCTTTGCAGTGTATCAAACAGAGGGACCAGCTGGAGGCAGCAGTTAGACCCCAATGGGGTCACCAGATAGTGTTGATCAGCTCACTCTACTGGCCTCCGCAAGTCTGAGGGCAGTTTTTGTTTCTTTGAGTCGCCCTGGAGGTCATCCCCTGGCTGTTTTGCTACTGTTTGGAGAGGGAAGCAGAGCCCAGCCCAGGGAAGTGGAGAGGTCCAGTTCTTAACACCGATAAGAGGGGAGGGATGGAGACATTCCCCAACAAGGGACCGCTGCTGCTGTGTGCTGAACAGTTCTACTTTGGCAGCTGGGGTATCTTTGCAAATTAAAATACAGCAGTGGGAGAGAAAATGCTGAGTCACTATTTTGAATTTCTTGAATCCTAATGTATGCATTGGTATATTTTCAGGAAAATATTAATGATAAAAATTTTTCCTTCTGGCTTTGGATTGAAAACATCCTAGAACTCATTAAAAAACACCTGCTGTCTCTCTGGAATGATGGGTAAGGACCCTGATGGATGCATTTTTGAAACGTTTTTCGTACATGCTGCCTTACTGAAGGTTCAGACAAAGCCTGAGCTGGGCTTCCTTATTGGACAGGATTTGTGTGCACCTCACAGTCATGCATACTTACGGCTGTCAAGGCTTTATGAGAGTGGAACCTCAGAAAACTAAACTTTATCCTTCCTTAGTATTTATGCAAAACTAAATTAAAAAATAAAAAGAAAGAAAGAAAACCAACTGAGTGCCATTCATGCATTCAACAAGTGTTTCTTGATCACCTGCTATATTGTCCATAGGAAAGGAGACATTTCAACTTGGTAAATTTTGTCTCACTCACTCATAGTATGAGCTGATACTTCAACAAAAGCTTTAAAGTGACCAGAGATGCTAGAATCTAAAATATATTTTCTGCATCTTCCTCTTCAGCATAAAAAATGTGTAAATTCAGATATTTTCATAGCCTTTAAAGTCAAATGATGATGAAAGACCCATTAATCCAGCATGTATTTAGTGAACATCTGTAGCATCCTGCTGGCATTATGTATTTTTTTTTAGTTTAGCATACATATGTGTAAGTGAAATGCTTCCTTAAGTTTCAATTAAATATATTTTTAAATAGTCTATAGATTTTTTATTATATGTTCTCTTACCATGTTGCAGTCATTTTCTTGGTTTGTCAAGTTAATATAAAAATTAAAATCATGATTGAACTACAAGTGACACCGGTGATCTCCATGTCTAGGTGTATCATGGGCTTTATCAGCAAGGAGCAAGAACGCGCTCTGCTCAAGGACCAGCAGCCGGGGACATTTCTGCTGCGGTTCAGCGAGAGCTCCCGGGAAGGGGCCATCACATTCACATGGGTGGAGCGGTCCCAGAATGGAGGTGGTAAGTGAAGGGCACTGGAGCACCCGGGCACGGTGCCACATATGGCTGACATCCTCTTTACTACTGCAGATCAGCCCAGACTTACCCAACTGAGGCCCCCAGATAGGATATTATTATACACCCCCTCCCCCAAATGAATATTGATGAATCACTGCCTAGGATGTTTTGTGAAAATGATGGCTTTTAAAAGATAAGGTCAAGTTCCTTCCTTTCAGTCAGGTTTGTTTTCTGTAGGATAGGATGTGAGTCAATATCATCTGTAGCCAGTTCCTTGGAAGAGCTCACTTTTGCCACAGTTTAAGGTTCCAGACTCACTTAGGGTAACTCCAGAGTCAAGTGCACAGGCGAGGATTGGCTTTGTGAGAAGACCTCCTTATTGGTTTTATCCACACATACCAGTAGCTGGGATTGGATGCGAGGGCTCTCAGGATAAGCTGCAGTCCTCTCTGCCTTGCCTTCAAATAGAGCAGCTGCTCATTTATCTCTGTTGGTGTATTGGATTTCTCTTTGACCAAATGAGTCCATAGATAAAAGACTCCAGAAACCTTGGCATCATGAAGCAGATCTCTGGAGGTGAAGCTGAAGAGTGCAGATGAAAAAATGATAATGGCAAACTGAGTACTTTTCACAGGCACCTATAGTTTGCCTAGAGCGCTGGAAACAAAACTGATTTGTTGTGGTGACTTCCCTGTTGTTGGTGTGTAGAGGCAAACGATGTTCTGTTCATTTTTGCTTCTGATGACAAGTGTGAAGACTGGGATTGGACCCTGGTGTAGGCAGTAGATGTTGAAGCCTACCTGTTTTCTTTTTTCTGGGGTAGTTCATTTCCTGATGCAGCTCAGAGATGAGCTATGACCCAATTAAAGAGGAAGAAAACACTTGTCAACCAGGAAAATATAAGCAGGGCTGCACCAGCCACATAGATTTAGGATATAGCATAGCAGAAGTTCTAGAGAGGACTCCCAAAGCACTGCTCAGCACCTTCTGGAATATGTGCACACAGAAGTGGGATTTTGGATAAAATAGTGTTGAACCCTGATGCAAAGAAAAAAACCACCAACTCCAATTTTAAATCGAATTAAAGCAAGCTTGTATTTGCGTACACAAAGAGAGCTGATCAGCGACTGTCTCCCCTAATGTGGGCTAGAGACCAGCCCACCAGCTCTTCAAGAATGAGATTTTATAGCAAAAAAAGTTGCAAAGGGGGGCTGTCTTGAGAACTTACAGATAACAGAATTTTGACAAGCATAATACAAAGGCAGATAGTAGGTTAATGATCTACATGGCATGACATTTAAAGGTAGGGAGTAAATTCAGATCCCAACATCAGAATTTATGAGGCACTGCTGGGGTTTCAGAGAGGATTGTTATCTGGTCGGGGGAGCCAGGATTTATGAGGTGTCACTAAGGTTTTAGAGAGGGCTGTTATCTGGTCAGGGAAGGCCAGGCATTGGTGAGTTCAAGGCCCGGGCAGGAATTCCAAACAAGTTTAAAAATCGCAGTAATTTATAGTAAAACAGAAATTAACTTTTCATGACAAGATGGTTCCCAATCTTAAAATGAAATTAGGCTGGGTTCATCAGTAGGAAGAAAGTTTTGAATCAGGTCTGGGATAAGAATAGGAGTTAATTAAACTGTGGCTTATTGCATTAAAAATTAGAAAAAAAAAAGTAGAATATGAGATCTTTTCTTGTTTCAAAAGTTTTATTTTTCCTGTAGATCATCATCATTTATTTTAATAATTATGTTTTTCAATATGAAAAGAAAAACAAAATGAGCTCATCTTTTAATAACTTAATCTGTGGCTTGAGCCAAGAAGACCCAATTGGTAATTAATTACTTATCTGCCTATGGGCAGCATTTTGTTGAAGATGAAGGCTTCTAAAGGAATTTAACAAACCTCTTTTAGCCACATTTATAAATCTAGGCAAATAATGACAAACACATTGTTACTGAGAGTAAAACCTGCCTTTGTTTTTTCCCTATTAAAGACAGGATTGTAATTTATTTAGAAATAAAGCAGTCCATGGTATGTGTGACAACTCCTAGATTATAATTAGTTCTCATGAGCTCGCTCACATCTGTATAATCTACAATGTTTTGCTTCTCTCTGTGTCATTGTGGAATATTCTGTGGAATTCACTGGGACTCACTGAGCGTCTCTCTTTTTTAGAACCTTACTTCCATGCGGTTGAACCCTACACAAAGAAAGAACTTTCTGCGGTTACTTTTCCTGATATAATTCGCAATTACAAAGTCATGGCTGCTGAAAACATTCCAGAGAATCCCCTGAAGTATCTGTATCCAAATATTGACAAAGACCATGCCTTTGGAAAGTACTACTCCAGGCCAAAGGAAGGTAGGTGGGAACAATCACCACTGCCCTCCTGAGACACAGCCCAGCGCCGTCTTTCCTGGTAGGCGAGTGTTGTGTGCAGACCAGATTTAAAAACAGGATTTACTTTTGCCATCCTGCCAGCCAGGGCCAGCCTGCTGTCTTTAACCCACTACTCTCTTATGGATTAGTAAAAGCAGGCTTTCAAAACACAGTATGCACTCAGTGTGGTTGTAATGAGATGCATTATTTGGCCTAATACAGCACGCAAGACATGCTTATATAATTTCATACTTTACAGGTATAGGGAAAGTCTATTTCTGATCTGTGTATCTGTTACATTGTCACTTTTTGCACAGGAAGGGAAGTATGACCAACTGATTTGTGCCAGTCTGCTCATGTTAAATTAAGGAAACAGGTCCATGAGAAGTAACCTGTTTCATCAACCCAATTATTTGTTAGATCCTATTGTTATTAGTAGTTTTTATTAAGAGGGGGCTTTGTCTAGGATACCAGTCTTAGGCTTCTCAGTTACCACTGAATCATATTTCAAAAAGTTCAAGTTAGGTTTTTCTAGTTTTAGAACATGCCAGAAAAGCTAATTGTTTTCAGAATGAGAAGTATCACTATTTATTAGGACAGTCACTTTGGAATTAAACACGTGCATGTATATCATCAGCTAAACCAGTGAGAACTTGGCACATGTGGCCATCTTGGAGGATTACAGCTTGAGGAAGAGAAAGCTCCTAGCTAGGCTGCTAATGAGATACTCACTCTTTTTCTGCTAATTGCTTCTTCATGCCCACCAGAATTTCAGATGACTCAGGCAGGGAGATCACAACCCCTTAAAAATTGCAGGACTCTGAGCTGCCAAGAAAAACAGTAGAATTTTGATCCCCCAAAATATTCTTTGGTAATTTCTCTAATGGAAAGTTACATGCTGTGTTTGCTTCTAGCACCAGAACCAATGGAACTTGACGGCCCTAAAGGAACTGGATACATCAAGACTGAGTTGATTTCTGTGTCTGAAGTGTAAGTGAGCACAGAAGACTGGCATGTTCCAAACTGCACACTAGCCCTGGCCCTGGCTGGGGCCTGGAGAGTGTATTTTGCTTTTCCTTTGTAATTGCTGTCGCCATTACAGTTGGACTTGTTGGAAAGATCCTAATTAGAGATCCTGGTGTCACTGTCTGCCAGCATTTGACTGCCTTTAAAAACCAAAAACCAAAACAAAACAGGAAAACCAAAGTTGTATGTAAGGTATTTAAGTTCTCCCCAAACGGATACTTTGAAAAAGCATAAATAAAATGAACAAAAATTGCAAAGAGTGGGAAAGCAGTTCTTTTCAACCTAGAAAAGGCCAAAGTAATCATCGAGATACATTTTCCGCTTGCGTTTATTCTGTTGTTTCATTTCATAAAAGGTAGAAAAAGGTTTGGAAAGTCATTGTCAGTTATTTGGCCTGCAGCACTGTCTTGGGCTGAATGGATGTAGCCTTCATGTAAAAACACTCTGGAGCAGCTTTATCTGCATACAAATCTCAAGGTAGGGATGAGGGACTCCCCAGACATTTCTCTGGTGCTTTTCTGTCTAGGGTAAGCCACGGGGCACTGCCATCCCAGGGTGGCACACGGCTCGTGCTCATTCCGAGGCTTAACCAGGCAGAAGTGGCCTAGGTTCCAGTCTGGCTGTGACCCACTCACATCTAGAGTCCAGTACATACATTCCCAAGGGGCCGGGCTGGGGACAGAAACTGCTGGTGATCCATACATTTTCAGATGTGCTTTATAAATGTGTACATTTTCCTAAAATAAAAATATAAAGTGGTCATTCAGTCACAGACAAAAGATAAAGAAAATGTGTTGAGTCTGCAGTAGGGCTTTCATGAGGTGTTAACATTTCCCTTTCCTTCCTCCCCTTTCTAGTCACCCTTCTAGACTTCAGTCCACAGACAACCTGCTCCCCATGTCCCCTGAGGAGTTTGATGAGGTATCCCGGATAGTGGGCAATGTGGAATTCGACACTATGGTAAGTACTGTTGCAGGGGTGTTCCCAGACCTGGGTAAGCGGGTGCCCTCTGAGGCAGGGTGGGCACTGCAGCAGATCCAGGGACTTTCCTCAAGAAGGATTCCTCTGGCAGAGCCAAAGAAAGGGCATTTTTCAGATGAGCTGGGACAAGGAAAAGCCTGCTGTGCTTCGACAAGGTACATCATCAGCAAAATGTTTATTCTTGGCATCCTCCAAAAAATAGGTGACATTTCAAATACTTATGTTTCCCCTTCTGCCCTTTGAAGTACAAAAGTTCTGTCCTTGTAGAATTTCACATATTAAGGAACTAATATTTTTCTGATAAAATGTTTTCTTTCTGCCTATAGCCTTACCACAGTGACATTCTTAGGAAAGGGTGTTATTTTTAGGGACTAATGCTGGGTAGTTGCAGTAATTACAGATTTACACTTAGCAAGCAGCCCTGAAAGGGCTTTCTCTGCTTCCTATTTAAGAAGGAATTTGTGCTGCTAGCTCCTGAAGCTATGAAAAAAGGCCAGCCCAGAAAAAACAGCACAGGGGGTGAAAGAGTTAGTGAGTTTCATGATAGAAATAGGAACATGATTGTTTCCAAAAGAGGTGATCTTCCTCTGGGAGAATATTTTTCAATATATCAAACAGTATTGTTTGCCTTTCAGCCTGAAATCCTTCCTCTTAAAGATTTGTTTGGTTGGCTGGGTTTTTGCTGATGCTGTTTAATTTTAAGCTCTTTTTCGCATGGAGCTATTCCAGTTCATTTTTCAAAGTTGGTTTAGTGCTTTAAAAAAAAAAAAGAAAAAAAAACACCTCTCTGAGTCACTGCTGGCTTTTCTTCATCATTTTGTACCTGGTGCCTGGCAAAAATAGGTTCTCAAAAATGAGAGAGGAAGTCAGGGAGGGAGAGGGAAAAGAGGGGGTGAGGCGTCTCTTGCAAACCATCATGAATTCAGGGAGTGTGTTCACGTGACCTCAGTAATACCTGATCAGCGTCACGTTTCTTAAGGGTAAGAAGGTCTTTTCCTCCACTTTAGGAGGGCTAAAATCTGTAGAGACTGTACTTTCTTACACTTTCCTGATTGTTGAGGATAAAAAAGCCATTTAGAAAAATGCTTAGCTAGTATGACAGCAAAATAGTTTGGTCTGTGCAAAATGAGCCTTTTCTCTGTGTAAGGTAGCATCCCAACACTCCTCTAAAAAGTGCTCTATAAGCCTGACACAACAACGCAGTACTCTTAAAGTCCAATTTAGAAAATATAAGCTATATAGATAGAGCCAAAAAGCAGGGTGATCCCCTTTTATACCTCTTTTGTTCCTGAGCAAGGTCCCTCAGCCGCATCACTATTGATGGGTGGCACTTACTAGCACCTCCCCCCTCCCAAGCACTTCCCCATAAAAGCCTCTAAGTTGGGTGTTATTGTTGTTCTCATCTTGGCAGACATAGAGCAGGGCCCTGTCCCCAGTTACAGAGCTTGACTAAGATCCAGTAGTTAGTCAACAGTAGAACCAACATTGAATCTACCTGGTGTCTCCAGAATGCATGCTCTTGTCCACCATCCTAGAACACCTGCCACAAACAGCCAGACTTGGCTTCATTCAAAATGTGCATCCCATAGAGGCTGTTTGCACAAACTGAGCATTTTATTCTGCTTATTAAGACAAAGGCAATGTGGCCTCTGGGTGAGAGGCCTGTGATTGGGATTTGGCAGGCAGAGTTCCAACTCTATCATCACCATTATCCCTGTGACCTTGTGAAAAGAAGATGGATTAATTCCGTCCATCTGTGTAAGCAGTAGGACTGCCTCCTGTATGCTCTCAGAATGATACTGTGAGAGCAGTTTAAATACTGCAAATAAATGTCAGGAAATGGTTTGTGGTCTTTGGACATTCCTATAGCCATTCCATCCCAAATGATATCATTCATTTCATTTGTAGAATAAAGTCAATCTGTCTTTACCCCTCTCCCCACACATCACACACATGCACACACACCATTAAAGACTCCAGGCAGGTCAGTAGATGTACAGAGCTAAAAGAGGCTATAAGGGAGACACAGCACTGGTTAGGCAAATTCAAATGCAAATTCAAAATAATAACTGGATGAGTTTTTAAACTGGATTGGCTCCACTGTGGTCTGCTCTGTCCTCAGTCTTGGCCATGACTTCCATTCGGCATCCATGGCTCTGAGATGGAAGCAGCTCTCTCAGAGCTGGCTGATTTCCACCCAGTCTGGAGGTTGCAGCTCTGGACTAGGGTGACACTAGGGACTGATGCCCAGTGCAGCCTCTGGGCAAGAGGACCACAAGCTCCTGAGGAAATTATCCAAGATAGCCAAATTACTAGTGTTTTTTGCCACATGAGTTGGGTGTTTGTTTAGCCTGGATTTTCTGTATGATAAGTTTTTCCCTCTGGGCTGTAGTACAACCATTCTACTTTCCTAGAGGCCTTTAACCAAAGCTCATAACAACAACAACAAGGAAGAAAAAATTATGATAATTTATTATCTACTATTTTCCTTCTACTGTATAGACAGTTTACATATGCTAATTTAACCCTTTCCATAAACCTGTCTGCTAGGTACTATTAGCCAACTTTGACTGAGGACCTTAACATTTAGAGGTTAAGTAATGTGTCCAATCACACAGTGACAAGATTGGAATCTGGGCTTCCTTTTTTCTCTCTCTCTCCCTGACACCCCTAAAGTCTGCCATCTTAACTACAACTTTGTGCTGTTGACCAGGCTGCAGCATAGGGGCAGAACCTTCAGTGTGCTTTTCAATCCAAAATGATTTTCCTAAGACCCCACCAAGTACCATGCACTATTGAGCACTTGAGATTTAAAAGCTCTCAAGAGGCTTTACTGTCTAGTGCTCAGTCTTGGTACTACAGGCATTTGGGGATGGAGAATTATGTCCTCTGCATTGTATCTCTGGCCTCTCCCCACTAGATAGATGCCATACACCACCACATCCAGCCATGGTAGTCAGAAACGTCTTTAGACATTGCAGGGGACCAAATAGTCTCTCAGAACATCTGATATAAGGCGAAAGACCAGTATAGAAGTCAGGGAGTCAGTGGTAGGACAGTCACCATTCCCTGAGGAGCAATTTCCTGACTCCAAGTTGCCATGTTCAAGGCAACTGGGCAGAAGGCATCGGTAGGGAAGGTGTAGGGGATCTTAATAATTCTACTTCTCTGGCCTGTATTTGAAACATTCATTTATTTTACCTATGAGTGACCTTTAAGGGAAATTCATCATTTCCCTCACATCCCTCTCTCCCTCTGGCGTATAACTCAGCATTTCCTCACCCTTGTTTTGCATGAGTGGATTTGCCACATTGCTCTGTCCCCAGACTTGCATAACAGCAGAAAGCTTTATGCAGTCTGGATAGATTCACAAAATTAAGCCAGCAGGCTGTAGAGTAATAATCCATCAGCTTAAGTGATATAAAAGGTCTTGATTAGTCCAGAAAATGGGTAGGTCATGTTGAAGGTCCTCAAATTCATTGGTGGTTATTGCTGTTAGAAGTGTCTTCCTTCCACTACATTCTACAGTGATGTTAAATATCTGAACTTGCTTGTCACAAGATCAATGTGATAAACTTAACCATCTTTTATCTCTTACAGATGAATGCAGTATAGAGCATGAATTTTTCTCATCTTCTCTGGCGACATTTTTCTCTTCCCATCTGTGACTCCTTCCTGCTGCTCTGTTCCTTCACATCCTATGTTTCTAGGGAAATGAAAGAGAGGACAACAAATTTGCTGCAGCCTATTGATAGCAAGTGGATGTTTCTCTTATTCAGAAACATGTTACTCTGAAGGGCTTCATGCATTTTATTGAAGGTGAAATTGAAAGGCACTCTCCACAGAGTGGATTTTGCAAATGAAAAACATCCATATGCACCCAAAGCATCAGGACTAGAATGAGAGACCTTTGGGAAAGGTGAGAAGTTTGGCAACAATTTAGCAAATGCTGTGCATGAAATCAGTGCCCAGCTGTTACAGGTTGTTGGATAGATATTGGTTACTTGGGAACTCTTGATGTAGAAAAAGAAAATTTCCATTCTGCTTTAAATATGGCTGAAAGTCTATTGTTTTGCCAATGAAATAGTTCAAAGCCAAGTTTATGTAAAATTATATATCAATACTTTATCAAAAGTAGCCTTCTTGCATCTGGGTAGGAGAAAAAGAAGTTGTGCTCTTCATTTTAATTATATCTTCCACACTGGCCATTTAAAACTGGAGAAAAATTCTTTTTTTCTAGAAGAGAATTAGCTTTTGTGTTGGTTATGGCTGAATAATATTGGCTGTTATCAATAGAAGGAAGTACATTTTCTAAATTCATAAATAGAGTTTTCTGTTTAATATTTAATATTCAGAGCTTAGTGTGTTTCACCTTCATCCTGGTCACTGGTGAATGAAATTGTCTTTGCCCTTCCATGAAGGGAGCCAAGCTCTTAACAACAGCCCTCTTAAGGCAGATCTCTTTATTTTTTAAAACATTGAAATTAATTACAGACGGAGATAAACCCAGGAATTTAATTCATGTTTCTTAAATGGGTTCATTTGTTTTTACTGTTATTAGCTGGTATTTAGTCTATTAGCCATAAAATTGAGAAAGGAGTAGAAAACGTAGTTACTGACAACTTGAATCATTAACCATAGATAACATGAAAATCAAATTATTTCAGAACTCATGTCCTATGTAACTGCACGGAGAACTGCATATTTTTCACTGATAAATGTGATTTTCTGACAATTATGTTTGCAAATGGTTCCATTATCTGTCTTGCGGTTTTTCCACATAGTTTTTTGAATGGATGATGTTTTGTGGAATGTACTATTTTTTTGTTTTGTTTTGTTTTGTTTATATGGTCTTCTTTCATTAGTGTGGACACAGAGCAGTGATAAGGGATGAGTCCACAGGGTTCTTCTGAATAACTTTCACAGACCGCTTGTCTGCGTGGCCGCTCTCCTCTCTCCATTTCCACCACCACAACTATGTGATTACAGAAATGCTGTGTTATTCTTTGGTGGAGATAAATTTTCTTGACATCTACTTTATAATTAAAGCTAAAGTATATATATATTACATTAAATATAATATGCACACAGTATTTTTTTATTTTTCTTATTACTACACAAATTGAGGCCTCTTATCAGTTTTTACATAGGATAGTATGAACCTGGCTGGGTTTTGGTTGAATCTTCAAACTGAAAAAATCAAGAAACATGACCACATTTTTGTGAATATTGTCCCTAATTCCTAGGATTTAACTACTTGTTAAACTTTTGTCCTTTAAGAATGATTGGCATAGTTTCATTTTACTGTACCAGCCAATCTTTAGAATAAGGTTTTAATAATGCTGGCATTATGAACTGGTTTAATATTTACCTCATTTACGTATCAGTCCTTATTTTACAATAAGATTAATAACACTACTTTCTTAAATATTCTCCTTACTCACCATGCTTGTAACCAGAATTTAAATGGCAGATTAAGATAGGTCAGTGGAAGAGATCAATTTGTAGTCTCATTTAATTGACCACTAAAATATTGCTGAGCAGATCATGGATTAAGCTATGTTTGTGTTTTAAGTATATCTTGGATAGTGTTTATATGACACTTGTAAATTTGGTAGGTGTTTTCTAAGCATAGAGCATATATGTACCACTTAGGATAAATTTATTATTTTCAAGAAAAGAGAATTATTTTCAGAGATGGCATTAAATGAGCAAGATGTTTTTACTGCCTACAAACTAAAGTGGAATATGAAGGCAGGTCTTAATGAACAAAATAGTCCTCTGTCACATCTGACTGCTCCAGGGAAAAAGCTAGAAAGTGTTTTGGAAATTCTTGTACCTAGTCTTTGAACTCAGATATTGTTCCCCAAGTAAGGGGTATTTATTCAAGTGGCATCTTTTGGTTGGCTAAGATTCATTAATTTATTAATTCGTCAAGTATGTATTCAGTATTTGCCATGAGCCAGGCTCTAGTCTAGATGTTTGGGAAATATTGGTGAACAAAACCATGATAAACCTAAGATGTTCTAGGATCTGGATCATATAACCTTCCTATCTCACTAGGATCTGAGCTGGACCTTCTATAATCTAATAAATCACATCCACTCCATACATAACTATAAAATTCCCCTTTCTGCAAAAGTTTTTTTTTCAAGTGCCACCTTTTAACATACATAGGGGGCTTCCTTGAACCATTCAGTCTATGATTTACGAATTTACTCATTTTACTATGAAGATTAACCCAACCCCTAAAATAGCCACACAAAAATAAAATGATCTTGTTATACAACAACAAATATAAAGTTTCTCCCTTGGGATTATCTGTACATCTGCACTGATAGGTGTAGGTGAAGTTGCCTATATGTTACAGAGCTTAACTTTATAGCAGCTATGCCTGACCTTAAAATTCCACAGCGGAGAAGCCTTAGCTGATGTGAATTATTTAATATAAATAAGTTTAAATGCAAATTCTGTCCATAGTCAGTAGGACCTTATTATAGGATATAGGAAAAGAGTATGGGACTAAGAGTTCTGTATCATGAGCCTCTCTTGAGTCCCAGCTTCATCAATAAAAGAATGGGTTAGATTAGAGAATTTCTGATGTCTCCTGCATTTCTAAAATATCAATAATGAAGATGGTAAAATACCGTGGCTTCTATAGCCAAACAATTTAGTCTGTGATAAATGACTTTGATAGATGAAAATGTATTGGCCCTGGTGCTCATGTCTACCATGAACCAGACACAAACCTTAAACCTGAAGGGAAAGAGTGCTCCAAGGACCAGGGTTTCTGGCACTGGAAGTGAATGCCATTCCTACATATAACAAATTAGGCAGGAGCTTAGCTTTGCCAACTGGTCCAACTCAGATCCTAGTGTGGTAGCACCAGGTTCAACTCTCCAAGTAGATTAAGGTTTTATAAATAAAAATAACCTGTCCTCTCATTCAAGAATATGTTCAATGGTTCAGTTCAACAAGTATTTACTGAGCACTTTGTAACAATGAAAGGGTAGTGTTAAATTCTAGAGGATAGAATGTGCTTCCCCATTCCCACATCTTTGAGGATGAACTCCTTGGCTTTGTCATTGTGATAGCCCCACCTGACACCATGCATACTACCTGGTTCATAGTAGGCATTAGCAATGGATCTGACCAACTGGACATGATCCCTACACTCAGTAAAGTGTTCAACCCAGGGTCATAAGAGAAAAACCTTAGTTGTTTTAAGAAAATCCATTTTCACACTTTTTTATCATACATGTATTTATTATGCTGTAAAAAGCAACACTATCTGATTTCATTTAAAATAAAATGTTTCCCAATTTCAGAATACTTAACAATTTATACTTTGAAGATTAGATCCACTTTGGGAGATATTGAAAGCAAATACATTCATAGCTGTGTAATCTCCAGGAAGAATCCAAATCCGTTAACAGCTCATTCATTTCCCTGCCAGACAGACCACAGAAGCAAAAGCGAATCCAACTCGGCAGCTACAGGCAGTGTGGGGCAGCAGTGGGGACAGCATATCACCAAAGATGAGACCATTAGAACCAAGACCAATAAAAACGACAATGTATACAAAGCTTTATATTAACACGACCATCCAAAGCTCCCAGGATACAGAAAAAGCACATATGATCCTAAAGCTAAAACAAAAAGATCTTTGGAGTTTACTGATGGCAGCAGTAAACAAGCATTCAACAAGCATTTAAATAAAATGTACTCATTATCACCAGCCAGTAGCAAACAGCCAGAGCACCTGGCACAAAGTCTTAGATAACATCTTGGGGAAATAATGGCACACTTAACTAAACCACAAAGAATTTTACAAAGCAGTTTGGATCTGAGAAAGGAAGAAAACTCTCTTTGTTCCCAAATAATAGTTAGAACTTCATTATTAGATAAAAGCCTCAAAATCACTCATTGGTAATCTTAAAACACACAACTGAACCACCTTAATGTTTCATTTTAATCACAGACAGCAAGCTGCTATTTAGGCAGTTATCCTTGTTGATTTCAATTAAAATATGTCTACCCCAATACCTGTGGGGATAATGCTGCTCCTGTACAGCGTCTTGCAAATACAACCTGTTTGAACGGCTTGATAAGATCCATGGGGCAGGAACACAGTGGTGCCCACCTTCCTTTCTCCCCACAGATGCTGGAACACAGGAGCCGCCTTTGTAACTGAGCAGTGGTTTCACCAAGGGAGGTGCCATCTAGGGATTGGGAGGGCAGTGGCAAAAGCTACTGACTTAGACTAAAAGCAAAAGTCAAAGCACCAGGGGACTGCTGGAGTGAGTAACAGTGCCATTGGGCATAATAAAGCTTGGAAGCAGCAGTCTATGCTGATTGGGAGGCGGGGGGAATTGCCACATTAATGTGGTAACAACTAGCATTCATGTAGTTGAGAATTCTGCTCATTTCACTAAATAGCTTCAAAGAAGTCCATGTATACACATGTATGGACAGTATGCTTAATGTCAGAAATCCTCACTGACATACCTCTTTATTTCTTTGAGGTTATGATAAGATACAATGTATGTGCATTTACTAGAAAATTGTTCTTCAGTCTGAAGCCCCTTTTACCTACTTTCTAAATGAATCGTGAATTAACTCCCTAAGACAAAATGATGGGTATCAATTTAAAATGGATTGGCTTTTTCTCATTATTGAACTATAGAACCCACAAAAAATTATACGGTAGAGAATGAGAAAAAATCGGGAGTGATCCAGTGGTCTTCCCGAAGAGGACAAATATCTTGATGCAGACTTTGAATGGCAGATTTAAAAACAAATGTTATTTGTAGCAGTTCCCTTACAGTCAGAATAACTTTGGTAACTTAGAGCATTTCTGAATTTGTCTTTGTCTAGGAGCTGAAAAATAACTTTTTAAAGAGCTGTAGCGGCACATGCCTTTGTTTTTTTTCAGAACAAATGAATTGGACTAATTTATCCTTAGTAATTTGTTTCTGGTTCATCCTCTATACAAATGGCAAAGTACTAGCTCTGATGCCAGAAATGTGAGGCATTTTCTGACTTACTGTGGAAACATGAAAACTGCATAGTATGCCAGCACTCACTTTCCCAGCCAGAGGGAAGAGGCAGACAGCTAAAGTCTGAGAAGAGAGGCTGGACTAAGGGGATATCAAAAAAGAAAAAATGTTCAAAAGTATTATAATTATATTCACACATATGTTTTGGTCACCAAACATATTTTTAAACAGATTCCCTGATACAGTCTAATCAGAATTGGCCTATCCTACTAACAGCTGTTAACTATTTTAGAGTCACATCATGAAGCGAGGGTGATGGGAGACATTTTAAACACTCAACCATATTGTTGCATAATTGTTGTTCAACACTCAAAACTAAATCTATATTTGAAGTCTTCAAAGTCACACTGTTTGCTTCTGAAGACAGCCTTGACCCCTTTGGACAGACTGTACAACAGAGCTTAATGTATAAGTGTGTATCAGCAAATCATCACCATGAATTGAAAGTTCACAAAACACACAAATGAATCATGAAGACCACACACTTAAGCTAGCATTGGTAACTATTTCTTTTACATCAAATTATACAGTGCACGAGGTAAATATTGCTCACATTATGGAGGGAGATTGTTTTATTTCTATTTTTTCCCAAAGAGATCAGATTTGTCCTGTGCGCACAATGAAGAAAACTCCGGTAACACTGAAATGACAAATGTAAAATATACATCACTACCAGATAGAAATACACATGTTCTTCATAATCATTTTCCACAATTAAATAGGTAAGTGATTTAAATCTTGGGATTTAAGACCATTATAACAATCCATCAAGATTCTTATGGACTGTTTGGTTTTCTTTTCCATTGTCGGAGTCTCCTTGAGGTGTGTACTGGACTTGGTATTCCTGGAGGATTTTGAATACATCGTGGTGTCCAAAGTGCAGTGCTTCATCCATGGGAGTGTTATTCCACCTAAACAAGTGGCACAGTATGGACAGGGTCATTAGGTAATTTCTGCATGAAGATGATCATCCAACATCCCTAGGTTTTAATATAGGTTAAACAGCCACCCAGGTTTAATCACTTTAGCAATATTACAAGTAAAAATCGTTAGCAGAAATGCAGAAAGGAATTTATAATTTAAAAACTGATCTCACAGACAATTTGGGATATGAGGATGAAGAGAAAAATATCTCTATGAGAGGAACTGGTTTACATATCCAAGTGCTTGTGGAGGGACCTTTATAAGGAAAGTCCTAGTTTTGACAGACAAAATAGATACCTCAAAGGTTCCTGAAAAGTCCAAAGGATTTATTTTTAAATAAATGTTCCAGTCAATTCAAACATCACAATAAATCTCACAAGTCTAGAAATAACCATAACTCTATGAGGGCTTAACCATGTATTGGAGGAACAAGACTGACCCAGAGAAAGTGACATTTCCATCACCTTCAGTAGGATGGGAAGTGTGGGCTCACCTACACCTCTACCCACACAGAAGACTCAGTTTCCCTTCCTTATTAAGTGTGCTGGGGCTGCGCTGTTAAGAGCAAGGTAGATAAAGATTCCAGGATATGAAGAAATGAAGAAGGGATAGCACTGCCTAATCGGCAGAGACAGCACTGTGAGGCTCACACCGCAGCACAGGGCAGGGATGAGTCTGAGTTCCAGATACTGCACAAGTGAGAAGGCCCTCTCCTTCCCTCTCTACTTGTGTCAAGAACTTCTCAGAGGCTGCCAGTGTCCTGCTCTGTGGGCTCATGGGCCACTCTCTCCACTTTGCTTCTGTTTCCTTCTTTCCTTTGCTGTATTACTGGTCACATTATGAAACCAAAAGTGTTTAAAACTGTCTCATTTTTAAACATTTTTGGTAACCTGTTCTTAAATATTTTAAAATACTTTTTTAGTTATACATGGACACAATATCTTTATTTTGTTTATTTATTTTTATGTGATTCTGAGGATTGAACCCAGTGCCTCATACGTGTGAGCACTCAACTTTCCCCGCCAGAGGGAAAGCCACTGAGTCACAACCCCAACCCTATTCTTAATTTTTTAAATCAGGTAAGTAACACTTTACAAGTATCTTTTGTGTTTCTCAAAAAACAGCTGGACTAATGGTTTTTTATTTCTGTACAGGCCTTCCTTAGTTGAGGGAGACAGTGGCTCTACAGAGGGACTTTTCAGTCATCTTCAACAGCATGTGATTATGTGGGCTTTCTAAGAATTGAATGCCACCATAAGTTACCTTTTTATAACTCTTTTCCCATGAAACAATGAAGAATAATCAACTTCAAAGAATATACTAATTTCACTCAAGCCTAGTTTATAATTTTAGATGATACTGATTCTTAGGAAATGAAGAAAAATAATTGTTTTGGGTCTATAGCTTCCATCCTAAAATCTGTTAGTTTTTGAGGGGTGGGGTTAGGCTGAATAGTTAACTTAGCTAACTTGCCCCTCAAGACGGGCTCTTTTACTTCTGCATTCTTAGAGGCCAACTTGGGGAGGGGTTCAAATATATAAAAACACAGTAAATATTTCTAGCACATACTAGTGTTTACTAGGAATTATAAACACAGGGGAAATATTCTTTTGGTTTCTTCCTCTATAAAGAGCTGAGAAGGATATTACATTTGGGGATAAATGGGAGAACTGTCACCCTAACTTGAGGTTTTGGAATACTGCCACAAATAGTCCTCGTGTTATTTAAATAATTATAGGAGTAAAGTTAGATAAGCAGATGTGTTACCACACTCACACACTGTTCAGACACTAACATAACTTCTCATTTCTTACAAGCTGAACCAATGAGATCTAGGCCCTAATTTTTAAAAAGTAGATATAGCTTAGTAAACACATTTAATACCTAGAGAGTAATCAACTTGCTCTAAACTTAATACAGTAACTCCCATTCCTCAGACATCAAATCCACAGTCCTTATACATAGCAAAACTCTAAATCAAATATTTCTTACTCATGTTATTCTAACCCTTTATTCTCAATACTCACTGACTCATCTGCTCTTCTTCAATAAATAACATCAAGTATTGTGAGTGCACAATTTACTATACATGGTCATGCCCTGGGCTCTTATCCCTGCATTGCTCACTTTGTGGACAGCATTTGCCACAGGAAGGGTAGCAGTTTGCCATGTGGACCAGGAGGGAGAGGAAAGGACCAGAAAACACCCCAGGCAAATTCTTCCTACTATAGATTGAACGCTGATCTTTCCCCCAAAATCACTGGCTAGAATTCAACTTCTACAAAGCCTGATAAAGCTTTCTACCCAAATCTTGGACTTTCAGCAAACTCCAATGTATTCATTATAGAGTTCTTTTTCAGAAGCTTTCTTACACATTATTCATATGCCCCTCAAGATGGGCTCTTTTACTTCTGCATTCTTATATGTTTATCCTATCTCCCCTGTGTAGTTAAAAGCCCTGTGAGGACAGAATTTCTATTTTCTCTTTCCAAACACAAAGAACTTTCTTTTTCATGTAGTGTGTGGACTGATAGTCAAGGCTGAAATTTTCTAATAAGAATACCATTCTTAGATAAGAAATAGGATATGGGAGATCAGATAACCCATCTAGCAGAAACAAGGTTTTGTTTGTTGCCTCTGGAAAGACACCACAGCAGATTCAAATGCCTTAGTGACTTTACATATACCATCACTTAAATACTGTAGTCCTGTATAATCAAATACTGACTTGCCCATTATGGTAAAAGGTATGTAAGTGCTTACCTGTCCTTGGGGAAGGGATTTACTTTGCAAGCTTCCAGCAAAAATTTAACGACTTCAACATGACCTACCCCCCCCAAAAAAAAAAAACAAACAGATATTAGTATTTAGTAGAAGTTAACTCTGGGGAAAATAATAATAAATGACTGGTTTATGTATTACCCTCTGCAGCAGCTACATGAAGTGCTGTTCTGGAATCATAATCCCGCTGTTCCATATCCATGGCTGACAAAGCAAATCTGAAAATTCATAAGCATAGCTATTCAGTATATATAAAACAAATTCAGTTCACACTGTAACATTCACTCTATAAATTTAACCTCAGGGCCTGTCAGGCGCCATCCTTTGCCAGGCTCATTAATGTTAACTAGAGTCCCTATTCACTCAGTACCCAGGTGTCCTGGGAAATGCCACCTCACCTCATCCTTATCTTTGCTATTTGGGGGTAGGATGAAATATTAACCATCTCTCACAGAATTAAGTTTTATCACGCTATTATTCAAACTCCAGAAGAAAGACACACCTATACCAAATGTTATGTCTCAACAGGGCAAGAAGCTAATAGTAAAGTTGTATGTCTTCACAGAGATTCCCATTCTTTAATTTGATACTTTACATTCTACAATTTATGAGTACTGACTGGACTTTGAAACAAATGTAGAAATTAAGCCTATACATCTTTCCATTTAAAGGTCAGTTGCAACTCTATACAAGAGACTTTATATTAAGTATTCGGTAGTAGATGGTCTTTCCGATCCTGATGATTTACAGGACACCAGATTCCCCATCTTTGTCCCATCCCCCCACCAGAGATGGGGAGTGAATGTGGAATGGGGAGGTACTGTCCAATAATGGTAAACCCCTAATATTAATTAGCCAGGTTAGTTGGATAAGTTACCATTTGGGAATGCAGATATCTAGGCTTTTCTAAAAGATGGAAAAGAACGAGACTGGGCTGCAGGCCTAAAGCATTGAACATGGGGGTTTAATGAAAATTTTGTTTGGGTTGTTTTTATTAGAGGGAAATGTAAGTGAGACCTTAGCCTTGATGCTAGGCTGCTAACCTAGCGTCAACTTCACAATAATGGAAAACCACATGCTAATCCACCCAGACAACATACCTTCGAAGGGCAGATACATCTCCAGTGTATGCAGCAAACAAAAGGTTTATCACTGATTTTACCTGTGAAGAAAAGAAAGTTCAGACATTCACAGGAAAAGACAAACCCACAGTGTTCAACTGTCACTGGTTATTTCCATGTGCTTGGAATACTTCAGCTGGATCACTCACAAAAGGTTATCAAGTACACTTCTATAACCAAATATACACATGTGTGGTATTTGCTTCTTTTAACAGTATTATGAAGGAAGATTCAATAATAAAGATAAGGTTCATGAGAGAAGGAATGGAATGATACCAGTTGGCACAAGAGTGGAAGCTCACAATCTGCTATTTGGGGCAACTGAAAATGCTTTAGCACTCTTCTCATTTAGCATGTCTCAGTTCTGTGAGCAAGTTTGTATACTGATAAAAGTCATCACATGATTAAAAACTAAATCATGCTATTTTAAGTATCTAATCCCTGCCAGCAATAACATTCCTCTCCACTAACTGGATTCCTTGCAAATCTTAAAGACAAAACTCAGTATTTATCATCTTAAACTTAGGAATAGGGCTGTACTTCACTGGAGTTTTTGTTTCCCTGCCCATCAGGTACAAATTAGAGCATTTAGAGAACCCATAAAACTGCTTAAAAGGTGGATCAACCCAGCAATGTTGATGAAAAACTACACTACTGATCATACAATTTGTTGGTAAATATTTTATAAATTTCCAGTTTGTCTTGTGCTTTATAACCTCAACATTCATATTGATGACCCAACTAACATTAGACGCAATGGTAGGAAATGAAAACTCAATGGGAGGGATGGAAAGTAACCTAGTTATCCACAAACAACCTAGTTCTGGAGCTGTGCTTCAAGATCTTAAACTGGACATTCTGTTTGTGTTATGGCCCCCCACAACCTGTGAATTTTTAAAAACTAACAAACTGACCAGTATTTTCTAAGCCTGTTTTGTAGCAAAACTATAGTCTGCAAGATGCTCCATGAAAATAAGGGTCCTGTGATCAGATATATCCTTAAAATATTAAATCTCCTTGGGAGATTCATGAACATATGAGAGGCCTTGCAGAGTTCTGAATACAGGAACTACTTGAGCTGTATACCTCCAAAATAACACTACCGGCCATTAGTGTTGGTATCCTTTAAAAAGCTAATACTCCTTCAGTCCATTAACTTCCCTTCCTGCCATTCTTTACTACTGCTGCCCATCCTGTCCCCTGAAGTCAGTCCCTCTGAACAGTCCAGACAATGTTCTGTATGGAGGTGGGAGAAAGTTACATCCAGAATACTCTTTAATATATAAGCATCCCCCACCATCCCATTTCTAGTCATCTAACTCTTATACCTCAAATTGATACATTTTAGGGAAAGGAGGTAAACATGCACATAGCCTTTTTTAAAGTCTAGGTAACTCTGATATGCTCTTTTGGGTTATGCACCATTTTTTTTCTATTTTTTTTTTAGGTGCTCTTGGCATCTTTTTTAGTGGTATCGGTTCTAAATCCTTTCTCGGAATTCCCCTTGTGCTCTTTAGCTACAGAATGCTGTTTAACTACCAGAGACCATTCATACTTCCCACTGGTCTCTCATTGCTAGTTCACAATTATTTTTTCATTAGTGTCCTTTATACTTTATTCAGGTCTTTAACACCAGAGGCCACTCATAAAACAGTGATGACCCTGAATACTTGATTGGGGGAAAAAAACACCTCTCATCTCTCCCCTCATTTTTATGCAGAGTACTTACTTAATACCTATTCTTTTTCCCTCTGTGCCTCAAACCAAAAAGTTATCCATCCTTCCTCACTGCCAAGATCTGCTTCTTTACCCATTCCTTCACACAGTCTTCCAGACCTCCTAACTGTGCTCCCTTAACACCTTTGTTTCTAGCTTCTCCGACCTCTTTCTTCACTGGTTCCCTTATGTCTGCCTTAATGCAGACACAGCATCCCATTTTGAAAAACTACCACTTGACCCTCTTATTCCCTTTATCAGTGCATATTTTTGCAAGTATTTTATACTTTTGAATTCCCTGAAAATTATCTTCGTATTCACTGTTGCCTCTGAACAGTACTCTAAGAAGTTCCAGCAGCTTCCTAAGTCCTGATTCCTCTTGTCCTCCTCACACTCCCCACTCTCTCAGGACTTTTCTCCCAAGACACTGCTCCTCCTGCTGGCTCCTTTGCACATCCCCTGCCCACTTTCCACTGTCTAATTATACTTCAAGTCAGTCTCCATCTTTCTTGGTTTTCAACATAACGTCCCTCGAATGTTTCATATGTACCTCTGGGCAGAATGACTTTTCAATCTATATCTTTAATCACTGTACCTAAACACCAACCCTATAGCTCTACTTGATTGCCACACTGAAACTTCAAACTCAAAAACAGTAACAATATTGACAGCTGCCCACTCTCGCTCCAGAAGTCTGCATCTACCTGTCTACTTGACATTACCTTCAGGTATTTCAGGGGTGTCTCAGAACTTGATTTGTTTTGCCTTCCCTGACTTCCAGTCAGCTCTTCCAGAATCTCCCATTTAGGGATGACACTGTAATTCATGCAGTTGCTCATTCTAATGCCCCAGAAGTCACCCAAGACTGCTGCATTTAAGTCCTCCACAGCCATTTAGGGGTACCCAGCCAGCTTCTTCCCACCAAGGTATCCAGGGAAGAAGGAAGCCTTCTTCACTCAGAGATAAGGAGCAGATCTGCTTCTGCCCAGAAACAATTACTAATTCACACAAGTCCACCACACAGACCCTGAGAATACTCCTTGTGTTCCTTCTCTCATAACCACAAGTAGCTCATCAACAAATCCTCCCACCAGTTCTTACTACCTCTCTCTACTGCTGTAGGTCTATCTGAGCTACAAGCTTGCTTCACCTAGAGGGATGGGACAGCCTCCCAATTGTTCCTCCTATTTAACTGCTAACATAGGAATCTCATGAAAACATCGAGGTACTTGCTGTTTATCAGACAAAGAATCTATCAGACCAAGAATCAAAGACTAAGAATCTATCAGACCAAGAATCAAATTCCAACTCTCAAGCATGGCTTGCATATCCAAATGCTCTGCTCCCCAGTTACACTGCACATCTGGTTCCCTACCACTTCTTCTTGCTGGGCTTCAGGTCCTCAGCACATAGGTGGTATCAAATCCCTCCATTCAGGTTTTATCCAACGTTATCCTGCAGACTGAAACACCCGCTTTCCTCACTCCTTATCCCTTACTTTGTTAACTCTCTCCATGGAAATTGTCACATAATATTCTCTCTTGTTCATTAAATATAAGCTCTTATCTTTCTCATTAAATATAAGCTCCATGTGGGCAGAGATTGTCTATTCTTTCTCCACCGTAATCCCAGTGCCTTCCACATGTAGTACATGACCATTAAATATCTATAGACTAATTAAGTGACCATTCTCTCCCAAAGTATCAAATATTCAGTTTGTTATCATCTTTTGGGTATTAAGAGTATAATCATTATCAATCACTTCAACTTCTCCATCTTCATGTATTATATTACCAGATTTATTCAATCCTTCTACCTGATGCCTCTGCTTCTCTAATCCTTCCACTTCCCAAAAGCTTTCACATATTTCTAATCATCTTCTCAAAGCATTGCTTTGATCACAGAAGGTTTCTAAGTAGGGGAGTGTCAAGAAAACTCAAAATCATTTGTGACACAATTTAAATTCTTTAGTCTTGCATTCAAGTTTCTTCAGGCTAATTTTTTTTTCTCTTAACCTTGACAGAGTAAAATAGGTCTTACTGCCCTTGTTGTGTCTTGATGTCTGCACTCTTCTCTCCCTTTAAAAACTCCCAGATTCCCAAATTCTTACCTACCCTCCAAGGCTATCATGAAATGCCCTTTCTTGCTGCCACACCTCCCCAGACCAAATCATCCCAGCATTCATTTTCCATATAGCTTATTGCCAGTTGCCCACACAGTGCCCTGACAGCACGTCAGGATAGAGTCATCAATTAGGCACTCCTGTCCCACCACAACCCTGAATATAACTTCTGCCCCTTTTAAGCCAGATAGTCATGCTATTCCCTGAAAGCATCCTTTCTCTCCTCATTTCTCAATGAAATGTTATTCTTATCCCAACTCTGTGAATGCTAATCTCTTAAATCAGAAGTAATCTCCTTTGATAGGAATGTTAATCAGTACAACCATCATGGAAAACAGTACAGAGGGGGAATAAAAACAGTATAGAGGTGACTCAATATTTTAAAAATAGAACTACCACAGAATCCAGCTACACTACTCCTGGGTATATATCCAAAGGAAATGAAATAGGCATACAAAAGAGACACCTGCACACCAGTGTTTATTGTGACACTATTTACAATGGCCAAAATATGGGATTGGTCTAGGTGCTCATCCACAGATGAATGGAGAGAGAGAAAATGGTACATATACACAATGAAGTATTATTCAGAGTATCATCAGTCTTCATAAGGAAGAATAAAATCCTGTTGTTTGTAGGAAAAGGAATGAAACCAGAAGTCATCAAGCTAATTGAAAAAAGCCAGACACAGAAAGACAAGTATCTTGTGTTTTCTCTTGTATAGGGGTGTGGGGGAGAACTGAAAGTAGAAGAGGGACTATTAAGGATAAGGAAGGAGGCCAGGGAAAGGAAGAGGAGGATGAGAGAAGTTAAAATTGGGGCAGGTAGACCTGATCAATACACAATATATGCACGTATAGAACTGTCATAATGAAATTGTACAGTAATTGTACAATTAATGTGTTAATGTAAAACTAATATAATCTTCTCCCACATTTGCCATACTACATCACAAATGACCATGTGGGACATTTACTTGTGTACATTATTAATTACCTATAGTTCTCCTTAAAATATATTTGCTCTTCTAAGCAATAAATCCTCATTTATTTCAGTGACTGTATATATGAACTACGTTTCTTTTTAAATTCTGAATTTGGACCAAACTACTTTGAAGAGATATTACATATATAAGCTTAGTCAATTATTCAATGTTTTAAAAGTTCTAAAAGAACGTTTCTTATAAATAAAGTCCATTGAAGA